AGGAACCTGCTGAATTCAACAGCAAGACTGAGAACTTGTTCATTTTCAACAACGACCGCTTTCAACTCTTGGTTTTACAACTTCCAGTTTGCAATTTTTGGCATGGCAAATTTAAATGTTTATGCTAACGTAACTGTAATCATAAAAATACAATTAATAAAATTATGCTGGATTTTTTTTGGGGGGGGGTTAATTTTTTTTTTTATCATGTAGATGTTATCTGACCACACTCCTTGGGCACATGTTTTATGCTATTCGTCACTCTTCCCGTTTGTAAAAACGACTTCATGATATCTCTCAACTCTAATGCAATTAAAACAACTTCTTGTCAAACCAGGTTTAATCTGGCTCTGATCCAGAATAGGCAAACATAATTTAGAGGCCCTGTAAAGTACATTCCGAGATTTATTTTGAAATATATTAACCTTGTTTGAAGATAATTGCTGAAAACATTCCGAAAATGCGGCGATATGGCATGAAACCGTTTTTCACCTTTTCAGTTTCCCTGATTGTTTTTTGTTTTTGGGTGCCTGGCTAAAACGGGCAGTGACACACGTGACCGTGGCTGCTTTAGAATGCCTCGTTGTCTGCCATAAGTGTGTGCGCATATAGGAGAGAAGGCGATGGAGCAAAGGGAGTTGGGGGGAAACATAAGTCAGACGTGACCGCTAGCATGTGGGCTTTGAGCTAGCTAGCATGGTATCTTTAGAGCGCCTCGTGGTCTTGGGATGAAAAAGCTCTGCGTAGGCATGAGAAATAAAAGTTTCTCAGTGAATAATTCCACAGATGGGGAAAAAAAAAAGCCTTAGGAGAGGTTAGCGCTCATTAAACGTGGTTGACTTGGTTGAAATGGGTCGTTAGTGTCGAAAAAAGCTGACAAAGCAAAGTCTATCCGTTGGCAGCTTTTCTTTCACGCGGCGCTGGACGCAAAAACGGCGGCTCAGGGCGAACACGTACGGTCTGACGGCTGACATTCCGCGCGTGAGTCGGGCTCGCTGTGGCGTGCCTGAGCCCGCTCGGCGTTAGCACTATTGTTGGAGGGATGAGCAGGCGGCAGACACTCAGTCATGTTTACCGATGACATCAGAAGATATTGGTGAAGCAGCATGTGGCTTATCACGCAAGGTTAACATACTGTTCTGAGTACAACAACAGCCATGTGTGGTCTCACCGCATTTAGCGATAAGAAATTGTCCAAAAGTGGACTTTGAGAGTGAAAGTGGACTTGACCTTTCTGCAGCTTCCACTCCTGTGTCTGTTTTTAGGAACGGGTGTTGGGGGTATTGCATAATTAATGTCAGCTGTTGCTAAATCTCAAGCTTGGGATTGGAGGAGAAAGAAACTAAATCTCTTGTCCGACGGTCCTCTTATCCCAGATCCATTTCAAACAACATTTCCTACTCCATTTCCGAGCCTCGCTCACTTTGCACCTGACCAAGGATGTGTCACTGACTGCAAAGTTTCAAACGCATCCCTGAGCTTTTGCCCAAATACATTTTTTTGGGTTCTTCCATCCCTCAAGGCTTGAGATAACTTGGATGAAATATTTCCTGCATGTTTCGTACCTTGGTACTTCCATAAATTTGAAGAATACGGTTCACACACTAGAATGTTTTATCGCCGGCTCAACAGTGAAAAGTGCTTTTGACCCGCTGCCGCCAAGTCTCGCATGAGGTTGAGAAAGTTGTGTTCAGATCCAAAGTGGCACCTCGGTGTGAACATAAGTGAAGATAATTTACAAGCAGGACCTCTGTCAACGGAGGTCACATCAGCGCCCACCCCATGAAGCCTGAGCCACACCCCCCGCCCAAAACTAAATAAAAATTAATATATATATATATATATATATATATATATGTGTGTGTGTGTATGAATGTATGCGTGAACCTTGGCCACCAAAAGACATACCAAATTTGGTGACCAAAAACCATCGCAACTAAACTGCTTTAACATTAGTAATGTTTGCATAGAGGATAAAGAATATATGCCTGTCAGTCGTGTTATATTGGCCACATATTGCCGCACCGTTTGTGTTTCAAGTATCGATTGTTGAAAGGTTTATAATTACAGATGCTAGTTTGGTTCGAACGTTTATGGGGTTTGGCATTGTGTGTTGAGATTAAGCTCACGGTAAAAAAAAAGGAAATGTGTTTCGGTTAAAAACAGTGTTAAATCTTCTTGATTTGATGTTTACTTAAATGGTACTTTTCAGCTGGGAGTGGCCCCAAGAAATGCAGCAGAAGCATGTGCGTGTGTGTGTTACTATTTTTGAGTTGGATGAAAGTGATCTGAGGGAAGTACGGTATTAACGGAGGCTGGGTACACACACACACACACACACACACACACACACACACACACACACACACACACGCGCTCCCAAAACAAACTCGTCAGACGACGCCGCTTTAGATTTAGACGTGAGCTTTCCTGCCATTTGCACGCACACACACACACACACACACACACACACACACACACACACACACACACACACACACAAGGGAGCGTATTCCAAAGTGTGTATTTCGGGTGCCTAAGAAGGTGGGGGGGAGGCACATTGCATGCTGGGATGTATTTAGACCGCCACGTCTAAATGCAGTGCAAACAAGGAGGCTCTGTTTGCTTTGCGCTTTCAAAATAAAACACCTGAAAAGCAATGTCTTTTTATTGGTGTGGGTTTGTGTATAACATTTATATTATAGTGCTCGATTGCATTTTACTGTGAAAGCATTTCCACTTCCTGTTTTCCAAGCAAACCGACAGTTAAGCCTCCACTCTCTTGACACATGGGCTCACATTTTCTGACATAGTCGGCCTGTCCAATCCGAATTAAAAAAAAGATGCCAATTGCATTTTACTGTGAAAGCATTCCATTTCCTGCCTCCCAAGTAATTCAAGTCGGAGCCATTAGTGGTCCGCTTGCTCGCAACATGGGCTTGGCGCGCGGGCTTGCATGTGCTCTCATTGGCAGCTCATCTCCCCCCTGACAAAAAAAAAAAAAAGTGTCCGATTGCATTTTAATATTGGAATCTCTTGTGTTTTTTCTGGATCTTTCTGTTCCTCCAGCAAATCACTGCGGTACCGATAGATTGGCACAAGGGCTTGACACATGGGCTCACGTTCTAACACAGGCAGCTCATCTGGTCCTAATAAAAGTGTGTGATTGCATTCCACTTCCTGTTTCCACAGCAAAGCGGCATTCCCCTCCCTTGCCACACGGGCTGAGCGGAGCAAGCGTTACCTTTATACTTCTCCCTCACGTTCTCGTAGGCCTGCATGTAATCCTGTTCCTCGGGCAAACGCTGGCCCGGGGTGAGCACGGCGGGCTGGGCCTGGCCCCGCTCCACGGGACGCATGCTCTCCTTGACGCTGGCCACCGCCTCGCTTGCACTTGCGCTCATCTTGGGTCAAAACAAAAGGAAAAGTAGCACACAAAGCCTTCCCTGCCCCTGCCAGTCTGGCCTGCCCGTCTGCGTGGCCCAAGACTCAGCCTGGACTATGTGTCCACCCCCCCCACCCCTCACTCTGGGTTGTTGGGAGCCGATGGAGAGGCTTGTTATGAACATGTTGTGTTAAGGCCTGTTTTCATTGGTTGGTTGGCTGGAAAAAAAATAATAAATCACTATGCCAGACTTAAAACCCTAACTGTGCCCTGAAACACGACATCGCTTGAAACACGAACTATGAAGGTTTAAGCCACAGCTGAAACGCTAACCTTGGCTCGAAAAAAAATAATAAATCACTATGCCAGACTTAAAACCCGAACTGTGCCCTGAAACACGACATAGCTTGAAACACGAACTGGAAGGTTTAAGCCACAGCTGAAACGCTAACTTTGGTTTGGAACCCAAACTTGAATTCCAGACCCCCGGGCTAGAAGCCCTAACTTGATAACTCTGCCGTCAAACCCAACTTTGAAAGCAAAGAGCATATTTTTAACAGGACATGGCGGAAAGCACCAAGAACATCATTCCAGTGAGTTTAAAAGCGCCAATCCTAAAGTGGAGCAACGTGTTCATCAGCAGACAGCGACGACATACAGCCACGCCCATTATCATTTGATATTTATCACGCATTTGATTTATTAAAAGTGAACGTGTGCTTTCTTGGATCCTTTGGCTGCCTCTCAACAAGCTGGACAACAAATGTTCCTGTTGCCGTGACGTCAAATCTCAACTACTTCCTTGTGCTTGTTTGCAGATGTCACGATGTCGCATGTTCGCGCCGCTCACACGAGCAACCACATCTTGGATCGCGACAAAGGCGCACTCGATCAGCGGTTTTTTTTTCGAAGGGGCCGCATTTCATTTTTCAAACGAACAAGTCATTCGTAGATGAGGTTGGAATCAAATGTAAACCATAGTGCTCATTTTTTTTAACATTTGAATCCATATTAATTGAACTATATTTATTGGCAGAGCAAACATTTGATGAAGTCATTTGGAATTTTACACAAAATTCATACTCATTCTAACAGCATTATCATCAATATTTTAATTTTACTCATAGTTTCCTACAATGGTTTAATCATAAAATGATCATTCAAATGGGATTGAATCGAATAAAAAATAAATGTCATTATTTTACAAATTAACAATATATTCATGAATTATTTAATGAGATTAATGTATTAAAAATTGAGCTTTTTATAATGACCCCCCCCATAAAAAAATGATAGGACTCTTGATGAATACTTGGTTGGTCTACTTTGCCCTTCACTATCTTGTGTATCCATATGACATCACACTGCAGGACCCCACCCTGACTAATCAGTATCGAGGGGGTCTTATTTCATACCACATGTCCGCTTGTAAATCGATAAGCGCAGACACTCACTGGCCACTTCATTAGGTACACACAGTCTGGTGAAAAGTCAATACAAAAGCCACGCTGTGCAAGGCGGCCATCCAAAATGAGATACTGTCCCTAATATTTGGAACCTGTACCTAATGAAGTGGGCAGTGGGTGTGCGTCCAAAAAAAAAAAAAAGATGGTACCTGCGATGCGGATGACGGCGCGCTCGGCCGGGTCCAGCACATCGCCCGAGGCCGACTTGGAACGCTTGATGCGATGATGCTTGGGCAGGTTCCAGGGAAGTGTGTCCCCCGGGGACGGCGAGCCCCCCAGGGGGTACACGTCGGCGGTGCTCTCATCCGACGCCGCCCGGACCAGGGGCCTCTTTTTGGGCTGGTCCTGCACCTCCTCTATGGCCTGCGGGCAGAGATGCAGAATTACTACAGCACCTCACAACATACAGTAGATATAAAAAGTATACGCGCCCTTGGAAAAAAAAAAAAAAAAAAAGACCTTTTTTTTTTTTACGCATTTTGCTAGCCCCCGGGTTTCATTTCAGTGGTAACCTATCACATGACCAAGAAGCGTGCCTTGACCTGCGTTAAGAGTGACATACTGTAGACGGATGTAACGGAGAATCATGTAAATTTACGAAATAAAACATCTTTCAGATTCCGAAATGAATAAAACAGAAGTCATATAAGTCATTTATTTTTTCTGTACGGCCCGGTACCAAATAACCCACGGACCAGTACCAGTCCGCGGCCCGGGGGTTGGGGACCCCTGCTGTAACCTGATAACATGAGACGCTGTCCACTGTAGTAACCGCTGTGCCTCAAAGGGTTACATTTGGTTGACTGTCAACACAGCCACATTAGCACGACTTATAAGAGGGTGTGCACACATTTGCAAACAGTGTTTAACCACATCAAAGTAAAAATATGAAATTAACTTGACTTTTAAATGACTACACGTTTATGATTATTTATTGTATTAAATACTGTAATTGGTTATCATTTCGAATGTGTTGCTTGATTATTAAAAATGTGTTTTTTTTCTTTTTGCTCATGAGCAGAGTGTACTTCCGAATGCGCGTGAACGACACTTCCGCCTCGACGGTGCTGAGTCACCGTCAGGCACAGAGCAACCACACTGCCTCGACAGGGCGCTGGCTGCACCATCACGCACGCACTCTGTGATCGGATGAAGTCCCCGAACGGCATCTGAGCGCAGCAACGACATCATATCTCCTGTGTCAAATTTCAAATCCCGCCAGACTCTGTTGCTAATGTACCGTAACACTTATCTGTGGAAAATGTACTTATAAATACAGTGCATCTTGAAAAGGAAAAAAAAAATCATTGGAATGGACATTATCTGGAGAAAGAGATGAACGAGCTCTAGAACAAAACAATAGATCGAGAGATGTAGTAGAGAGCGATCAAGGATGCATAGCAAAATGGATGTCGAATAGCCGCCAGACTCTGTTGCTAATGTACCGTAACACTTATCTGTGGAAAATGTACTTATAAATACAGTGCATCTTGAAAAGGAAAAAAAAATCATTGGAATGGACATTATCTGGAGTAAGAGATGAACAGCTGTAGAACAAAACAACAGATCGAGAGATGTAGTAGAGAGCGATCTAGGATGCATAGCAAAATGGATCTCGAATACACTGCAACAGAGTCATAAATTAAAGACAACCTAGCACTATATTAGCTAGTCTCGAGACTAGCCAGTTACAGTCTGGCTGGATAGAGGAGATTAAACATACGGTAGATGAACAGATTCAGAAGAGAAATAAGATTAGAATGGACTGGTAAACTACATACTATATTCCGGAAATAATGTAAATATAGCCGGAATGGATATAATGACTAGATTGGCCAAAAATAGAGCGAGAATAGATTTGGAAAAAGGCAAAGATCCAGAATGAATAGATCAATCTAAATTGTAGGATAGGTCTACATGAGATGGATCTTAAATAGCTCACTAGACTTCTAGTGCAAATGGATTGATTTATAATAGATTTTGAAGAATAACACTAGATTTCAATGAAATATCTTCAGAATTTACACCAAGGATGGAGCTTGAATTAACAGGTAAGAACTGATAACCTTTATTTGTCCCACACTGGGGAAATTTGCAGTCGACAGCAGCAACATTGGGGGGGATGGGGGGGGGAGAAAAAAAACAGTGTTTCATTGCACAAAATGTTTCAGAAAGAACTGTACACAGTTCAATAAAAGTGCAATATAAAATACAGCATTAGTAATATATTTGTAGAATAAACATTACATAAATATATAATAATATATATATAATAATATAATATATATATATAAAATAAATAAAGGATGAAGATTTACATGACATATCTAGAAGAGTGGGAAATTCGGCAGCTACAATGGCTGGATAAAGCTCAGATTTTTTTTTTTGGTATTTATAATGTCTCTCAGGATAGTATAGCTGCACAAATGTGGAAGACAGAGCTCTGGACTACAATGAATAGATGCGGAATAGCTAGAGAGCAAGACTAAGTGTTGAAAGATCAAAGACCACGAGTCAAAACACCCAGCATGGATGAACCTCGGATCAATCAACGGAACTAAAATAGCTAGCCAGGTAGACCTAACAAAAATGGTTCTAGAACAACCAAACTAGTTAAAATAGTTCGACCATGGATGACATGACGAGATTATTTATCCCTTTCTTTTAATTTATTATGGTAACAAAGACGCATAGATCAAGACGACATAACTCCAGGTTGAAATGATTGTCTGGAGAATAGCGAGACCTAGCATAGTTGCGGCAAGAAAAGACGAGACAGTTTTCCAGAATTGGCTTTCGTGAGATTGTGCAGGTGTACCTAATGAAGTGGCCTGCACACGTCACTCGCAGAACTTAAAGGGAAACTCATCAACATTCACACATCCCAAAATAGTCACCACGTGATTTACGTGAGTTTACGTGATGAATACTTTATACGTTCCATGACGAATTCATAGCGCGTTCTAAGTGACCTCAACGAGGCCGCCCTGCACCTGCAAATCCCCCCCCCCACACACACCCCCCCCCCTTTCTACGCGTCCGAACCGACACCGAAGCTGCCCACGTACGTCATCACCATACTCACGGTCGACATGTCCGCGGGAGTGGCGGTGATGGGGGTGGTGGTGGTCGTGGCGGTGGTGGGGCCACGCAAACAGTGCGTTAACAAGCGTCGCATGCAGAATTTGATGGCACACCTCAAGGCGCCCTCATCATATTCTCTGCAGCAGCAGCAGCGGCGGCAGGAGAGGAGGCGCGCATGCGCACTGCGCCATTTATTTATTTATTTTAAAGGGGGGGGGGGTCCGTCCGGCACTGAACCAAACGCAAAACTTAACACGGTGTTATTTGCGCTAGATTGGCGCATACATGAACATGACATGACAAGCGTGTTTGACGGGCATGATAGTTCCAGAACGGACAGAGCAACAACCGAAGTATTCAGAATATAATAGTGGCAGTCAGCGACTTTTGTACCTGGGCCTTCAGTGGCTATTTAAGGATTTCTTGAATTCACAGCAATGTATGAGCTTGACAGATATACCGATTCTCGATCCATCGTAGTACGCTAGACTTATTCAGTCTAGAGCTAGCTAGTCATAGCACGCCTGACTCCAAATCTTATCTGGGTCACTCCACCTGAATCAATGCTTCAAATTTCCAGCAGAAAACAAAACAAAACAAACAAAAAAAGACACCATTGTCTGTCTCTGTTGTGATCTTACCTCCATAATTCAAATCTAAATGAGTGAATTTACTTTTGGCCTGCAGAGGATGTGGTGAGACAACTTCCTGTGGACCATGTGACTTGTACAATGATCCCAATTTTAAAATACAAAATCACTTTCATGTGGAGAACGCTTTGCATTGCAAACAAAACAATTTTATATTTCCTGAGGACGCAAAGGCCACCGATTCAGTGGAATGACCATCCAGCTCAATTTTTCTGATATGAAACAAATGAGACATAGACAGATCTTTTCAAAACTTTCTCCATCATTAACATGACCTAACCAATCACGTTCTAACTCGTGTTGAATGGGAGTGAGCGGTGCCTTTGATTAACCACAAATCAAGTTTTAGGTGTTATAGTAAGCTTTTTTTGGGGGGGGGGGCGGGGGGGCTGAGACAAATCGCATGCTTTTCAAGAGCAGTTTTTTTTCCTCGCTTCTAAAAAAGCATGTTAACCACGTAGAAAAGAACACTAAGTTCAGCCAGTCGAAACAAAAGTTGTCCTGCTGGGCGAGGTTACATAATGAGCGACCAATGCGTTTGTGTGTCATGGTGTGAATGGACCACTGTGTGCTGCTCCACTTTTGTTCCCATCGATTCCGCATGCCATCACGGCATCTCGTGCCAGTTCCGTGAGACCGCCATCGACATCCCTGAGGGACCAGCTTTTTAAAAACGATTCGAGTCTAATGATACCAGGCGGCACAGGTGTCGCGAATATGTCCAGTACGCATAAACATGAACAACTCGATGACAGCTCACCTTCTGTGGTCGCCGCCTCCTCCTCCTTTTCCCAGATGGGGCTGAAGCCTCCAGGGAAGACGCCTCAGATTCCTTCAGAGGCACTTCTATAACTTCCTGGATCACTTTCAGCTCCGCCATCTTGACCGGCTTCACCTTCTTCACCTCTTGGATCACCTTCACCTCCTCCTCCGTTGTTTTCTTCACCTCCTGGGTGATCCTTGCCTTGACTGTCTTTGGCTTCTTCACTTCCTGCGGCATCACCGTCAATGTCTCCTTGGCCGGTTGATCGTTCTTCACCTTGTCCTTCATTGTTTCCTTCACCTTTTTGACCGGTTTTGCCTTCTTTAAGTCCTCCTGGACCACAACCACCGTTTCCTTGGCTTGCTGGATGACCTTAAGCTTGTCTTTCATTGTTTCCTTTACCTTTTTGACCGGTATTGCCTTTTTCAAGTCCTGCTGGACCACAGTCACCGTTTCCTTGGCCTGCTGGATGACCTTCACCTTGTCTTTCATTGTTTCCTTCACCTTTTTGACCGGTATTGCCTTCTTCAAGTCCTCCTGGACCACAGTCACCGTTTCCTTGGCCTGCTGGATGACCTTCACCTTGTCTTTCATTGTTTCCTTCACCTTTTTGACCGGTATTGCCTTTTTCAAGTCCTGCTGGACCACAGTCACCGTTTCCTTGGCCTGCTGGATGACCTTCACCTTGTCTTTCATTGTTTCCTTCACCTTTTTGACCGGTATTGCCTTCTTCAAGTCCTCCTGGACCACAGTCACCGTTTCCTTGGCCTGCTGGATGACCTTCACCTTGTCTTTCATTGTTTCCTTCACCTTTTTGACCGGTATTGCCTTCTTCAAGTCCTCCTGGACCACAGTCACTGTCTCCTTGGCCTGCTGGACTACCCTCACCTTCTCCTTCTTGACTGACTCGGGCTTCTTCGCCTCTTCCTTTGCTTCCAGGACTACCTTCGCCTCCTTCCTCTTTTTGTTTTCTTTAGACTCCAGGATGTCATTTGACTTTTTGATAGGTTTCAATTTTTCCTTTCTGTCTTCCTGGATGACCAGCTTGCCCTCCTTCTGCATAATTTCCTTCACTTCCTGGATGGACTTCTTGACTGCCTTTGGCTTCTTCACCTCCTCCCAGGGGGCCTTCACTTCTTTAGTCATTACTTTTGCCTCCTGTACAACGTCGTTGTCCTTAACATTTGCCTTCTTGATCTTCTCGGTGATTGTTTTGGTCTCTTGGACCACTTTCAGTACCTTCTCCTTTACCTTCTTTGCTACCTCCACCTTCTGGATCACCTCCTGATCCACCTTCAGCTTCATCTCCTTTGATTTCTTGACTTCCTCCTCTTGATGCTTCTTCACATCCTTTGCATTCGGGACCACCTTGGTCTCTTTTGCCTTCTCCGTCTTGACCACTTTAATTGCCTTGGCTTGAATGGTTTCGGCATGCTTCTCTTTGCGCTTTTTCCTCCTCTGAAACATGACAAAAAGCCTCCACTTAGCGTGCTGCGTTTTTTTTTTTTTTGTTTTTTGGTCACTTGCATTTTTATTACTTTTGCTGTCAAGAAAGTACTATTTCATTGGCATTCTACAGAATTCTAAAAGCCAACACTCAGGTTGAACACAATGGGAGGGTCTCGAAATCTTGTGCTGTGGACTGTATGTTTCTGCAGGGATGTTGTACAATATTCCGACTGTTAACCGTGGCATTTGCACACACACGCCTCTCATTCACTGACGTCATTTTGATGGACGGGCGCAAAAAGCCGGTTGGCTCCCATTGTGTCGTGTGTGTGTGTGTGTACGCCGTGACATTTTTGATCTTTGTTCATATGTTAGTGCCGCACAAACGGCTTCGCATATGCAGGCATGTTGAAAGGTCATGCACATTGCACACACATTCACTCAATCATCCACTCTTTGATATTTAATTAGATTTATTTGTCCAGCAAACTGGCAGCAAGGTGGTCCTCACAGTCTCGACAAAAAAAATCAAACTTCACTCTTAAGTTTGTAGCTGATTTTAAATTTTGTACTTTAAATAACGTGAAGCACTTCGAGTTACCCTTTGTATGAAAAGCGATAAATAAAGCTGGCAAGCATTAAATTTCATTGCATTTGGAGGACAGTTGACAGGAGGGCGGTTTGAGACGGGATGGTTGTTTTGTTATGTCATCAGGCCCCGGGAAGACAACTGGGGCCAAGTACAAGTGAGCAGAGACCCCTAAAGTCCAAAAGGAGGCATTACATTACGATTCCGAGTCAACGCTGGTCTCACCTGAGCGGGACCTTTGGATCCGGGCGGCTTCACCATCACTGTGTGGGAAGGCGGGGTGGAAAAAACAAAAACAAACACATTTACTACTTTTACTGAGCAAAAGCAGATGTTCCACATCTCACGGCACACCAATGAACAAAAACATCACCAAAAAGTTTTATTCCGTTCAGTCTTTATTTTGCATTCAGTATTTCGCTCTCTAAATAAAGTATTCATGGCCGCAAGTTAATTGTAACTTCAGCTATCGCGTAGAGGAGCGTTTATTTGTTGTGCTTGTCACTGGCATAGAGAGATGAACAAAGACGCATCATTCATAGTAAATAATTTATGGGCCAATGAAGTCAAATTTGTTCTTTTCCTGCAGCACACCCGATGATGCCTCCAGAGCATTCGTGGACGGCAATCACTGCATTATTTATTTATTTTTTTAAGTACGCTTACAAGTCTCGCAGAACTCTCTTTGTGTATATTTTTATTGTAACTGTAAGCGTGACAGAGCCATTGTACACATCCCAGCCGTCCAATCAGCACATTTCCAACCACAAAGTGGAAGCAGAAGCAATTCGGTGGCAGAAAAAAAAAAAACACCACAGTCGCGTAAGCGAGTTAGAGTGGAAACAGAAACAGCCTATCACGTGGCGCGGGATGGGAGGGGGAGTATCCACCCTACCTTCCAGGTAGCGCTCCATGGAAGCCGAGGAAGAGCCGTGGTTCCACGTGTAGCAGCAAAAGGAAAAGAACCACACCAGTAGCGGGGCCAGTACCAGCGCCAAGATCCATAGGATCCGGACCACAGCCGGGTCTGTCGCCACCCAGGATGTCAGCGGGTCCATGCTCGCGTAAGTCACTCGGTAGACGAAAGGAGCAGAGGGATCGAGTCAGGAAGTAGCAGGGAGGCAGGCCGAAGTGCACGCTGATGGATTCCAGCTGTCGGGGCCCACGTCAGCTGCAAGGAAACAGAAGAAAAGAGGAGAGGAAGAGGCGTGGATAGCAGCTGGCATGGTCATCGGCCCCTCCTCCTTGACACATCAGAGGGAATCCTCACTTGAGGACACAAGAAAAAAATGCACCTGACGCACTTTTCCCGCAAACACAACACATGAATTGACTGCAAGTATTCAGCAAACCGGTTTGGGTAATAAAAAGTCCCATGGTTTGCTGACGCCAAAGCTTGGTAACTGGTTTCAATGGACATTAAGGCAAATATTTGCCTGGGGAAGGTTGATACAGGTCAGGTTTATAAACAGTGACGCTTAATATTATAAAGGTGTGGTTATAGTAAGTCTCACGCTTTATGCATTTGATTTAGCCCTAAAGCAGGAATTGACGGCAATACACTTTCCTCTGATGGAATAACAAAGGTGTCCCAGTATCGATGAGTTAACTAGTACTCAATAATCAACAGTCCCATATTTGTAGACGTCAGCGGAAAAGCCGGACGACAGACGTTGGAATGGTGCAGCCGATGATAACTGGGGAAATATCGCCATCTAGTGGACGAAAGTGAAACAAACGTGTACCCAGTTCTGAGGAGAAACCCGGACACCGAAATCCTGCAGGCAGCGAAAAAAAATTATACAACATCAACACCAAGTGGACGTATTAGGAATCGACAGGAATACATGAAAAATTAAAAACACTTATAGGGTTTGTTTTCCAAAGAGGAAAAAGCTTTAATGTCATGTTAACTGCTTTCAGACTATTGACCTGGAAAAAAAAAAAAAAAAGGAAATCCAACAACAATAAGAAAGGTGACACATCTGAAAGGCCAACAACCCAATTGTGTGACGCCTGCTTCAAGCAGCCAGTTGGAATGATGCAGGCAGATAAACCAAGTGTGGGAATCCGGTTAAAAGTTGTGGGATTATTTTCCAAGAGCCATTGGCCTCCTCTTTTTTTGATTTTTTTGTTTTTCCTTTTTTAGTAGAATCCAGAGTCTTGAGCGGCCCAGTTTGGCGTCTGTGGAAACCAGATGAGACAAAATGGATACAAGTAGAAAGGCACAAATTGAACTCTTGTACACAATTCTAATGTCAGTTTGCAGTCTATTTATTATTTAGACGACTAATAAAGGCGTTGAATTATTTTTTTGGGTGGCCCTGCTAGTCATGAGCACATTGTTGTGCTCTGGCGTACCTCATTCCTGTTGCTGTGAGCCACCTTCTTCTCGATGTTCATGGCCAGCATTTGGCTGCGGAAGGACAAGCTCTTGGTCTTCTCGATGACCTGCTGGTAGGGCGACACGGCATTGTTGCCCATCACCACGTGACCCTGCGAGACACAGACACAAGACACGGCAGGTGAATAGCGAGGTTGCGGACTTTTACTGCAGAGTGGGGTTTCGTTGCTCACCAGCTTGGAGTCGATCTTGGCATCCAACCGGGCATTGCGGATCAGATTGACGATCCACCTCTCCGCCTCCTCGGGCGTCATGTTCAGCTTGTCGGCCAGCATGCTGTTTGTGAGGAAAAAAAAAACAACAACACAGATGAGTCAGTAAAATAATGCTCCACATGTGAAGTTTGTGTTGAATAGTTTAACTACTGAAGTCTGTCGTTAATGTAAAACGGACTCATGACTGGGTAAATGGGAAGAGCATTGGTGTTGATGCTTTTTGATCATCTCCATTTTAAGCGCTTTGTCGCCATCCTGTGGCCAACTGTATGTCATTACAAATCCCTGTGAGGGGTGGGGGTGAACTATTCACAGATTGTCACTATCCGCACTTGATGCTGATGCACTGATGGATGCGGCAGAAGGTCTCGAAGATGAAGAGGCGAGCATTCTCAATGAAGTCCTCCAGACACGCCACCAGGAAGAAGTCATTGACGAGAACCTGCAGGAGAAGGACATCGGGAGCTCAGAAGTCAACCAGAATGCCTCATCAACATTTGAACAAATTCCACCTTTTTCTAGGGAGTATGGGTACGCATTTAATGTTTATATTTCGTTAGTCTAATAGCATACTTACCCTAGTCATTTTTAACTAACTGTACCTCATCAAAAATCCCTAACGTGCTTCCTAAAAATATATATATTTTCTTAGCCTGTCAAGAAAATGTCATTTGCAAAAATTGATCCGAGGCAATGGGGCTTGTCATTTTTTTCCTTCTTGTTTGACAAAAAAAAAAGGGTGGGGATACAAAGGAATACAAAGGAAACCATTTTTTAAAAATTATATACAATTGAGTGGCATTGATGTTAACTACAAAATTGCTATCCAATGATATCTGACTCATATTCACATTTTGTGAATTCTCTTTTCATTTATAATAAAGGGAATTTTTTTTGGTTGCACAAAACCTTCAAAACTTACAGAAAAATGCTTTAATTTGGACAAAGACCAAATATGGCTTTTTTCCCCCCCAAAACACAATTCAATCTTGCAAAACCTTTACTGTTTCTCAATTTTTGCAAAAAGTCTTTTTTTTTGTCCTAAAATCAATTCTGCATTCAGAAAAAAAAATCTTCAGAAACAAAACAACCAAGCTTCCACAAAGACCTTAGAAACAAGAATCCTGTAGGCAAAAAGACAAACGACAGCCCAAGGGACTCGCACAAGTCGTGTGTGACAGGACAAATGAAGCACTTCGCTGCCACAAAAATTCTAAAAAAGCAAATCCCAGCCAAGTACAAAGTGGTCCCAAAGCGGCGCATCAAAACTGCAGGCTGGCCCCAAAGCTGACAGCTGTTCCGCTTCAAAAAAAAAAAAAAAAAAAAAAACTGAATTCGAGAAGGATTTATTGACTGGATTTGGTGCAGCAGCCTCAGTCAAAGTTAAAGAGCGAACGTGCATTCGTGGCGGGGAAGACGCAAGAAATGCTCTCTCACCGACTCGCACTCCCTCAGCTTCTTCTGGGCGCTGTCAAAGTCAAAGTTGACGTAAAGGCACTCCACAAACTCCGTGATGGGGTCTTTGTACGTGTACGACTCCTGCGCAAACACAACCGTAATGAATCACCTTTCCGGACGCGTTTGGTCAAATAATGAGGTTTTACCTGCTGGATAACCTTCACCAAGTCCTTGAGAACTTGTCTGCGCTTGCGCACGTCCTTGTTGGTGATGACGGCGGTGGTCAGGTAGCGCAGGATATGCGGGCACATGGTCTGGATGGCGTTTAAGTACCTGGAGGGGGATTGAGGAAGTATTTGCTGATTTACAAATGGATAGGAAAAGTCTCCACACCTCAGCTGAAATGTCATTGCTTTTGGCGATTTCCAAAAAATTGGACCAAGATAGAACCTTTTTCTACCATTAACATGACCGATAACCTGCAGAAATAGTTTGAAAAATATATACCTTTCTGAGAGTGTAACTAAAAACAGGTAATATGGTTGCACATGTGTAAACACCCTCTTAAAAGTGGCCATGTGATTGTGTTCTGAATAAACCAATCCCATTCAAATTTAGCGAAGTGCGAGGTCAATATTTCAAGTGATGGATATGCACCAAGTCAAGTTCAAGTAGGCTTTTCCCGACATTTATTTGCTTACATTCACTTGAATTAATTGCAGTTAGTTAATCGGTTACATTTATGTAGCTCCAGTTACCCAGCTCCTGTTAGTGCCTCTGATTAACCCCAAATAAAGTTCAGCTGTTCCACTGGGCCTTTCCTGACATTTTCCTTTAGCGCTGGAGCAGAAAGTGAAAGGTTTTGTGGTAACACTGACAGCTATTTGGAACTATTAACAATGCCCGCCCAGCTTCACATTAATGGGAAAAAAAAAAGTGGTCAAATTATTCATTTTGGCCTCATTTTGAGAACATGACCTGCTGATTTGAACACTGGTGTGTCGACTTCCTATAGCCACTGCATACACAGCAAGGACTCACTGAGGCTGGTAGAGGAAGAGCTCGATAATGTTGTCCCGGCCTTTGGGGTGGTTGAAAAACACAAAGAGGGACCAGTGGATGAGCCAGGTCCTCTGCTGGAGCGACTGGAGAGGAGAGCTCACCGACTGTGGAGGGGGGGATGACAAAATGCACCACAAAATTGAGGAGACGTTGCGGTAAGAAACACACCAAAAATAGTTTCTCTCACTCACATTGTTGTCAATGGTCTCCCTGAGTCGTGTCAGGTCCTCCATGGCGGCCTCCCAGTTCTGCATCAAGATCTCAGATGCCAGCTTACCCCAAAGAGAACTCAGAGCGTTCCTGTCGGTTGACGGAACCTGAAAGAAGAGCCCAAAACTCAATGAATAGATGACTTAAGTCTACACATCCCACTTGAGGTTTTGGTGATATCAAACAATAATAAGAAAAATCATTTTTAAAAAACCTTTACATCCAATAACGTGACATAACCAAGAGCATTTGCTTCAGGAGGGAAAATAAAAATAAATGAGTAAAATAAATAACGTGGTTAGGAATTAACCAGTTAATGGGAGTCAGCACAAACTAGTCCCCATTACAGGTGAGCCTGATTCACCCCGAACAAACCTGAGCTGTTCTAGGAGGCTCTTTTTGACTTTAGGGCTTTGTGCTAATAGTGACTGCTAACAAACAGTTAACTCATTCAGTACCGGTCAATTCTAGACCCCATTTTTTTTTTTTAACTCTAAGTATTTGGAAAAATTGAAAAAAATAAGTATCTGTGGTTGAACGTGTGGCTCTGGGGTTGAACATGTGGAGTGTGAAAAGACAAATATGTCTTTTGGAGTGAATGAGTTAATTTCTTCATCCTGTGGGTGTCAACTCTTTACCATTATATGCCTAAGAATGTTAATAAAGTTTGGATTGGGCCAGTTATACATTATTTCCTATGGGAACACAGTTTTCAAGTGTGAGCAAATAAAGACAAATATGTCTTTGGGAGTGAATGAGTTTTAATTTCTTCATCCTGTGGGTGTGAACTCGTTACCATTATATGCCTAAGAATGTTAAAGTTTGGATTGGGCCAGTTATCCATCATTTCCTACGGGAACACAGCTTTCAAGTGTGAGCAAATCACAGAGGAACAATGTTTGACTGTTTTACTTTGAAATAAATATTTGATTTTCTGTTCTTACCAGCACACGGAAAAAGTAGAGGTACTCGGCTGCACCAGAGTAGTTTCCACACTCATACTGGAACTTGGCGTATCTGTACAGAGTGTCCAGGTACTCTTGGCGGAACTAAAATAATTGCAAAATTGTTAAAAATGAACAGGCATAATTCGCATCACTTTCAGAAAATGTGTGAATGTTGTGAATCAATTGAAAAACTTACATTGTGTTTCTCTGAAAGATAGTCGAAGAGCATCCTCCCGTCTCTGTCCAACAAATATCAAGTTAAAATCCCACCGCTTGTTCACTAAACAATCCTGTCTACAAACAATATTTCAGAAGGACCTGGTGGACTGCATCTGCCTCGTTGTCTCGGGGTCCTCAAACATCTTGACAATGGGCTCCGTCTCTGACTGGAGCTGCTTGAGCTGAGCCACCACAGTGCCTCTCTTCTCCCTCAAGGCTACAACGAGGACAGTTTTCATCGGTAGCACACAGAAAAAGTACATCGAGAAATCTAGTGGCGCTATTTGCATAGCCATGTTAGTGCAAGTAGTGCATGATGGGACACACTGAGAACTTACAATGCGGGATCTCCTTGTCGGGATAAAGGTTCTTGTACACGTCCATGGCAAAATCCACCATGTTGGTGTCGCTGAGAAGGTCCAGCTTGCCTTGGAGAAGCTCCTTTTCATTGTAGATCTGTTGTGAGCCAAACCAAAGTGTTGTCGGTTAAAGACAATATTTACAACTGCATCCACACACGATGATTCGATTTCACGAATGCCGGCTAATTGAAGTTTGATAGGCGGTTCAAGAAAGCTAAAGGTGGCATATAGTATGCTCAGTTACCATCATAGTTATTTTTTCAGACTGTCATAGGTGGCATATAGTATGCTCAGTTACCATCATAGTTGTTTTTTCAGATTTTGTCATAAATTGGTCAAGAAGTGTTTTCATGCACTTGTTTCCACGGAAAAATCAATTAGTACCAAGATGAGTGGAACTTTGTGGTCCTATTTTGTGCAAGTTTTGTCATAATTCTACAAGCCCTTTCAGCACATGGAGTCGTGTTCTTATTCACTTTCTTACAAGTAGGTTGCGTACGGTTATATTTGAACAACAGATTGTCTTTATAGGGATTAACTCCTAAAAAATGCCAGCTGCTCCCATACACACAAATTAGGCTAGGCTAACAGGACGACAGTGCATACCTTGGCGTCAAATTGCGGTATATTACAGTCATGGCGCTAACATGGAAACATTCTAAAACGTCAATCTAATTGATTAAGTACTAAAATGAATACATCGACTTCTTAGCATCAGCTGCTTTACCAACGTGACTGTTAGCTAGCTCGAGCCCAGCCACGGTGGGTGGCTTTATTCGCATTTCCAGGACCAAAACGCCAAATAAAAATAGCTACAATGAATCGAAATGCCATCTGACAGGGAAATCGACGTACCTCTTTCACGGAAAGGAATTCCAGAAGGGGAAAAACCAAATGCCGGTCGAGAAAATGTGCTATCTTGGTGGTGAGATCGTAATCCGCCATCTTGGCTGCTTTGAAAAGAGGAACTTTATTGACAATGAGAGTGGAAGACAGAAGTAAATGATGACGTCACATAGCGTCCCCCCCCCCCAAATCGTAAAAAAATGTAAATAAAATAGCGACACTTTACTTTTAACATGTTTTAATCGGAAATCGTTTTTCTTTCTTTCATTTTTGTTTGTTTTCAAATTACGAATCTTTTTTGGGCTTCAGCAACAACACAGTTCATAATCATTTCAAAGCAACACATTTAGTACAAAACGATATCGATGTGGGAAATATTGAAGGTAGTTCTCATATTCTGATTTTATTTTTGAAACCACGGGCACCCCCACTGCCTGACGACTGACAAATGCAGACACCCAACAAACGTAAACTTTGACTTTCTTTTTCCAAACTTCCATTGAGTTTAATCGAAAACATATTGGGTCCACATATACATGGTGGATTTTTCCTTGAGCTTACCCTAAAACTTCTTGGTGGTGGTCAACTTCAACTGACTTCCCTTACCAATATGTAAATAAAAGTTCAGTGGGGAAATTACGAAGAGTTACCCGAATTGTGGTTGGCAACAAGAGCAAGAGCGGCGACAAGGAACGTCAGAAACCATGAAAAGACTGCCCGAAGTCAAGATCATAAACTGCTGTCTCATCACTTTCTCACTTCTAAACAATCCTGTCTACAAACAATATTTAAAGTTGCAAAAACAAAGCACTTGAATGAAACACACAAAACACCAGCGAGGGTAAAAATGCTACCCACTATTCCATCTGTTGCATAATGTACTCCTCTCGCATCGTGCAAGCTTGCAGGTGGCGGGGCTGTGTCAAAGCTGGTTAAATTCCATGTTGTGACAGCTGTTTTAGAGTGAAAACTGAATGGGAGGGAAGACGGCGTGCCCCGAGGACGCTCCTGCAACTTCCCACTCAGTGCTCGCCGGATGATTATGACTCGAGCTGAAAACATGCTGCAGCGTCTTAGGTGCGCTGGCGGGCGACACTGATAAGACTCTTTCCCCAGGTTTAAGTGACACTAAGAATAAAGTGGTGGCGGTGTTATTTAATGCCAAGGGGGCCAGTCACTTCAAGCGGTGCTACAGGGAGGAGTGAAAAAGTTCTTTGTGCAAGTCATATGACTCATGAGGTGAATTTAGGGTGACATTCAAGTTGTTTATACTTTATTGTGTTGACTTTTAAAAGAAAAACACTCACATCTCCCAGAAGCTCCTATCTATGACTTTAATATGAGATATGGCTCTTCGGTCAATAAAAAAAAGTATTGGTGGAAGATGAAGTACATTCGTGTAGGTCTCTCTCATCCTTATTGTATCATGCACATATGTCGCAATAAGGGGAAAAATAAAAATGGAGCACGTGTGTGCCTCACCAGTGCAGCTTTTTGTCGTTTAATGATGGAAGAGGAAGGAGAGGCGCTCGCGGAGGCTTTAATTGGTGTCTGGGTTTGCTTTGTCAGGGGAGTGTCGCTGACATGAACTCAAACCTGTGAGGAAAAAAAAAACAAAACATCCTGTCCCACACCTGGCCTAGAGGCCTCTTGAACGTGCGTTAATGACTTAGTCAATAACGCTTAAGACGTGGTCGCGTAGCAACCGAAGGCTCCCATCAAAAGGGAAAGCCACCCAGCTAATCGGGGGGCGGGGGGGTGTTTTTAAATAAGACAGATAATAGAGCAAAAAGCGAGTAGGGAATAAAATCACGCACCTCATCGTTTATCAGCTACATTCCTTGCGCTCGGGGGAAGGATTTAAAGTGCAAATCCTGCACATGAGAAGCCCTCGACTTTTAAGAGGCGATATCCGTCGGCTTCACGAAAACGCTGACAAATTCTAGCAGGTATTTATTCTCTCTGTTAAAGAAGACACACACACAAAAAAAAAGTTCCTAGATTTCTTTCTTTGAAACAGCCTCGAGAACTGTCTGTGTCACCACCACATTTTCACAGCTTCCCGCAGAACGATGCACTTTCTCCTTTTCTCTAAAACGTTGACTTAGGATCACTCACTAAAATGCTAGGAGGCAATTTTTACATTTTAAATGAGCATATCGTAGTTTCATAGAGACAACGAGGTTCAAATTGACCCAGAATATTTTGTGCGCTGATGGAAAATGAGCAGTACGTAAGTATTAGAACACCCACAACGTTTGCCTCGTGGTCGACCACCGGCTGAGGCACTGCCCACATACTGTACATGTTCTTTCTCAATCTTGCTTGCCATTGTCGCGGTGGAAGCAAAGCAGACGGGACATTACCATAGCAACGAGGTCGGCCTGTTGCTACGGGGAAACCAAGGCGAAGGAGGGTAGGAAGAGGCGGTGCGGGAGCTCACGGCAGAGGATGACACCTTTATTTTACACTTGCTTTTTCCTTGACTGGTTAGTATTGAGTTTGATTGTTCAAGTATAGTGGAATGAAGTGCGCGATCGTTTGTTTTCGCTCAGTCAGGTCTTCCTCGATCAGCTTTTCAATGCAAACGCAAACACTTAAGGTTGCCCCCCCTTCACTTGTCATCATCAGTGTGTGTGTTTTAAGTTATCCTCAGGTTGTCTCCGCCGCCGTACGTTTGGGATCCAAAGAGCCTTTTAAGATGATTAAATGTCGAAACTGGATGGCGCTTCAGGAGCTCTGAGTGCATTTATTGTGCTGTGCGGCTCTGTCAATGGAATGAAAATATGTTTCTCCATCCCAAAGTGCTTTTAACGTTTACACTACCGGTAGTTTGTTTCGAAGAGCTTCTCGCGTCAAAGAAATACATTTTCAAGTTATGCGAAATGATTCTTGTCCTTTATCAGCACGATGATAAATGATGATACTGATCTCAAATCATCTTTCCCCTTTGAAATGAATGCAAATGCTAGTAATGCGTCCTAGCATCTCATTAAAAACTAAAATGTACACAATATTGTACTTTATGAAAACATACAGCGATTTAATGATATCATTAAATAGGATGCAAGAATTAATCAGTTATCTTCCATGAGTCGATGCCGACCAATAACAAACATTATTTCTGTTTGTGAAGATGAGATTGCAGAGTTGAACCGTAAACCAACAACAGAAGTGGACCAAGAAGGGCGCCCTGAGGTAACAGACACGTACTGATCATAAATGCAAACGTTTCAACGTTTTTATTGAGGCAGACTCAAATGTCCATGAGAGACTGCAACATTGAAAGCAGTCATAAACACACACACACACAAAAAAAAAACATTAATATCGTACATTTCCGAGGTTAATGAATTCCAACTGTGAGTCACAATCTCGCATTCATTCGTTTGCTCGTTCTTTTGTCGATTTGTGAGTCATTAAAGTCTCCACGGGGACTTCAATGATGGAAAGGGCAACGTTCAGACACTTTGGGAAAGGGGATTGTCTCCACTTGAAATTGGTCTGCTCTTCGGTCAAATCATTAGGCACAGTACACGTTTCAAATATTATTCGTTTAACAATACGTTTATTTTTGCGGTTAGAGGCTTTAATTTTTTTTTTTTTGGGTGGGTGTGCAATCGGAGTTTTAGAATGATGTAAGCACAGAGGCTCCAAAGTGTCAACATATTAGAAAGAATGCTTAGGACGGTGCAGTCTAACTACAGTACAAGCCAATTATGACAAAATTTTCACTTTAAAAAAAAAAAAAAAAAAAAAAAAAGGTTTTCCCGATTCAAAATTCAAACGAGTCATCAGCAGTGGCGGGCAAATTCGTGCCGGGGTCCGAGTGCCCGCGCCCAACGGCCCCATACAGATTGTGCTTGGCTGCGTGCGCCAGCGCCCTCCTGCGCATCATCTCCCCCTTCCACATGGACGCCATGAGCAGGCTGGAGAGCAGCACGCCGCCCAGCGTGAGCAGGCACAGGCCGGCGATGACGCAGCGGTCCAGGTGCGCGCCCAAGCGCGCTCGCTGCTGCTGCAGCCGCTCCATCTCGCGCGCCGCCACGCCGTCCGCCTCCATGGGGACCCGCGCGTCCCGAGGCACCGCGAACGAGATGGCTACCAGGGAGATGCCCGTCACCAGGCAGCAGACAGCTGCGATGAAGCCGTAGTCCACGGAGCCCTCTGAGGACAGCTCCGAGTAAAGTTCCTCCTCCGCATCTTCCGCTTCTTCCGCACTGAATCCACTCAAGCAGTCCTCCGCTGGGTCTTCGCCCGTCAAAGGAGACTCATCCTCGGCTGGGCGCGGGTTCTCTCCTGCGGAGGGACCCGGTGCTCCGGCGCGCGACTGCGTCCCCGGGCTCGCGGTCACTCCCATGGAGGAAGGAGAAGAAAAAGAAGGAGGAGGCGTGGATCCAAAGTTTGCAAAGTGGCGCTCATCTTAAGCGCGGCGCACGGAAGCGAGGAGGGAAATGAGAGGAGTCACGCGTCATTTGCACAATCTCCTCTGCCTCCGCCGCCTTGTCAATTAGTGGGGAGCGGGGTGGCAGACCCCTCCCACGGGCGCCACGGCATCCGCGCGTATCGTCTCATGGACGCCAGGATGCGCCAGTCAGCAGTCAAATGTATGCGTGCTTTGATTGCAGCCCCCGAGTTGATACCTTATTAAAAAAAAAAACACTGTTGGATCAGGGGCGTACAGCCGTCATTAATGAAGGAGGGGATGGAGGGGAGGGGGGGGTAGTGTTTGAACTAAATTCACTATTGAATTAATTAAGGTGTTTTTATTTGATTATGAAACATGATTACTCACCAATTTCACAACGTAGAATTTTTAAAAGAACAATGAGAAAATAAATCCCGATGATATGTATTTGCGTCTCATTCGATGTCACCAATTGGCGATGTTAGAAAGTAAAAATAAGCTCGAAAGGTTTATAAAAATGCCATCATGTGTGGGGGGGAAGGAGGATTTACAATGGATGGAAAAAAAGGAGGATTTTCCATTTGCTGAGCATGTTACGGAAAGCCTCTTGAATGTGTGTGTGTGTGTGTGTGTGTGTGTGTGTGTGTGTGTGTGTGTGTGTGTGTGTGTGTGTGTGTTTTGCAAATGTAGGTTATACTTTGCCAAAGGTCACAATTCTAAACGAGTTAAGTTCTGTCGTTCCGCTGTTGCCGCCTTCCTCCAAAAAGACAGAACACCCTGTACTTTCACTTTAGTCCACAACCGGAGACGATGTGCATTGCTTACTTGAGTGTGCGCGGAGGTGACCGGAGGACATTTTTTTTGCGCTTTTCTGCTTCATTTGGCATCTTGCTGCAAGTGTGAAAACACCACAAACTCACACAGCTTCCTTCCTTCCTTCCTTTCTTTCTTCCTTTTGGCAGCTACAAAAAAAAAAAAAAGAAACAAATGAATGAATGTGTACAAGGTTCTATTTTTAGTTCTATTTTTAAGCTCCAATTCAATTGTTGTTCTGCTTTTGCATTATTTTTTTTTCCGTTCAACTGAAATGCACCCATGTCAACGAATAAAACACTCGTGAATCATTCTCTCACACACACACACACACACACACACACACACACACACACACACACACACACACACACACACACACACACACCTGGAGGGCATCAGTCCAACATGGCATACATACACAAAATATTGAAAGATGCCTGCGAAGACGCTTGAGCCATTCTTGGGCTCGTAAGTAAACATTGTGCAGTGTTTGTGATTAATAAAAAGCATGAATAAAATAATGAATCATAAATATGCTTGACTCATTTCAACGGCGACGTCACACAATTTGTGCCAAGAGCCCACACAGGATTTAAAAAAAATAAAAAAACGTGAGAGGGGAAGTGGGGGATCCCACTTCGAAGATGATTATGATTTCCTCAAGGCAGTGGGGGTTCGAGTTAGTTTTAGGATTTAAATTCGATTGGGATTAGGGCTGATGGGTTCGGGGAGAGCTGTTTGGGTTCGCTTTTAGATAAGGATCAGGATTTTATATGCAGGGGTTATGGACTGTCGAAAAAATATATTTTTTGTCTTAAAACAGTAACCCAAGTTGGAAAGTAGTAAAACCGCCCTTGCAGTTATTAAAAATAAACACAGTCGTGATTTTTTTTTTCTTCTTTTAACAGTTGTTATAGCCACCTGGCTCAACAGCAGCCAACCAAAAAGTGGTCACAAGAATATGATATTGATTTAAAATAATCAGGCGCTGACAAGGAAACTAAAGTATCGGTGTAGATGGCAGCTGACTCGATAAAAACGTGCTGCCACACAGCACAACAGATTATTCGAGAGAGAGAGAGAGAGAGAGAGAGAGAGAGAGAGAGAGAGAGAGAGAGAGAGCGAGAGAGAGAGAGAGAGATGAGTGTGCTTTTCATCTCTGTCCTGTAGGTGGCAGTAAAACCCTTCTAGACATGTTGAGGAGAACTAACGAAAGTACAAAAATAAAACAAATACCTGCATGTTTTGGAAACCGGGGCTCCTTTAGATGACCCCAACTTGGATGTAAAATTCCTCATTTTGTACTTTTGTACCGTCCTGCAGGGAAGAAGTCAGGTGGAGGCCTTTTGTTGTACGGGTCCACCTAAGAACCACAAAAGTGACCCCGATCGCGATTAAAGGCTAGTGTTTCCTATTTTCTTGATTTCTTTGCTGGCGTGTGTGTGTGCACAGTTGGTGTGTGTGGGAGCTTCGACCGCCCCCACACACGCTGGCGTCGGAACAGAGAGAAATGTTATTAAGAGAATAAAAATAAAATAACAACTGTTGTGCCTTGCTCGCTGACCGCCATGAACTTAAATGCCGCAGTTGTTGAAGAAAAAGCTGCAGTCAATCAAAAACTCCTTTGTTGGTTACATAACCAAGGTTTTATAACAATATCACATAGAAATGAATTTGGGGGCGGGGGTGTGTGTGTAAAGATCGCATCGAGTGTGCACGTCCAGCTACTTTCCAGTGAGCAGAAATAACCAGTCAACCAAATATGGGCTGCAGGAAAAAGCAAAGACGCGTTCGACATGACGTCATAGCTGCGTGCGTAATGAGAGTTTGAGCAAAAACGAAGCAACAGAACCAAGGAGGTGGACTTTTACGAGCAGCTCTGATTGAATTCCACCGTTCGCGTGGCAAGGAAGTGCAATTTTACGCACATCCCCAGTGGCAAAATGGTTTGGTGAGGCGGGTGATTTTTTTTTTTTTGCACGGCTCCCCGGTTTGCATTTTCACGCACAATTCTCTGACGGAACACTCCTTTGGTTACGAGATAATTAATAAAACGCAATAATAATAGTTTTATTTCCGCACAGCTCTGCTTTGGTGGCGAGGAAGTGGACTTTTACGCAACGGGCTTTGGTTTCGTGGCGAGTAGATTTTAATTTCACGCCACTAACATCACGCAACGGGCTTTGGTTTCGTGGCGAGTAGATTTTTAGTTTCACGCCACGAACATTGGGTCGCTCTTCTAGAAATGGACTTTTACGCACGAGAATAACAACGCGAGGACATTGACTTTTACGCACAGCTGTGATTTGGTGGCGAGGAAGGTGGACTTTCACGCACAGCTCTTTGCTTCAGTGGCGAGGAGGACTTTTACGCACACATCCTCTCGTTCCTCCTCGCGCGCCACCACACCATCCCGGCGATCGCTCAGGATGCGAGCTGCGTGGGGAGCCCATTGATGAACCTCGCTCTTCCAAGAAAACCCCAAACTAATTCAAAATGGAGAACTCGACCAACCAGACTCTGGGCGTGTGGACGGATTCGAGCGTGGCGTACAAAGTGATCAGCACGGCGTTGCTGCTGCTGATCTGCTTGGCAGGCGTGGTGGGCAACGTGATGGTGGTGCTGGTGGTGCTGACCACCAAGCACATGCGCACGCCCACCAACTGCTACCTGGTGAGCCTGGCCGCCGCCGACCTGATAGTGCTGACGGCAGCCGGCTTGCCCACGGCGGCCGAGGGAGCTTTGGGTTCTTGGGTGTTGGGTCATTGGGGGTGTCTGTGCATCACATACCTGCAGTACCTGGGCATCAACGCCTCATCGTGCTCGATTGCCGCCTTCACCGTCGAGAGGTACATCGCCATCTGCCATCCCATCAGGGCGCAGTTCCTGTGCACGCTGTCCCGCGCCAAAAAGATCATCCTTCTGGTTTGGACGCTGACGTCCGCCTACTGCGTCATGTGGTTCTACCTGGCCAACCTGCAGGTGTTGGTTTACGATAACGCCAAGGTGACTGCGTGCGGCTACCGGGTGTCCAGGAAGCTTTACCTGCCCGTGTACTTCTTCGACTTCGGGGTGTTCTTCGTGGTGCCACTGCTGCTGAGCGCGGTGCTGTATGGGCTGATCGGACGCATCCTTTTCCTCAATCCGCTTCCCTCTGACCCCAAGGAGCAGCAGCAGCTGCAGCGACACAACAACCACGACATGGGCAAGAGGAGCTACAGGAGCTCCAGCTCCACCGCAGCATCGCGGAGACAGGTGAGAACCTGAGCCACACACCGAGAAAACATTCGGGACGCCAACCAATTGGGAGCTCGTCAAAAGGCACTGATAAGCATTCAATGTTTGTTTTCCACCCCTTCCCCCCACAAAAAAAAACTGGGGTGGCTGGTGAGAAAAAAAGATTTAAAATCATAGATCCTAAAGGTTAAATGTTGATACAAAAGGAACACAATTAATTCAGGTGTAAAACACAATTAAAAAAAACTAACAAAACATTTTTAAATTCTAACAGTTGTTATCGATTAAATGCCAGTAAACTAATATTAATTTGCGTTAAAAAAAACAAAACAAAAAAAAACAAACATGGCAGTGAAAAGAACAACCAGATAGCAGGCGGCCTCTCGCTGACATGCTCGCTTGAGCTTCAGGAGCTTTGCTGAAGGTTTTGGGAATATCCACCCCCCCAAAAGGTTTTGGGATACAAAGGGCAAAAACAATAGTTGTCTCACGTAATCTGAAAAAGAAAAAGAAAAATGGCAACGGCATCGATTTTGGGATCACGTTGTATCAGTTATGGATTAAAATAAATACATGAAAAAAAAACTGTACCGTATTTTCCACACTAAAAGGCGCACTGGATTATGAGGCGCACCTTCAATGAATGGCCTATTTTGTCTTTTTTTTTCATGCATTGGGCGCACCGCATTACAAGACGCAATCTACAATGCATCCACTAGATGGAGCTACACTAAAGGAAATACCAACAGAACGACCAGATGTCAGTAAAACTTATTTAATAAAGCAGCGGCACAGTTCACTTAACCAACAGGAAGTTATAACATTGACTCGTTAACGTTGAACTCTATTGCCGCTGCTCCATTTCAACTGCGTAACCGATCGCCTTAATTTTGAACTCTAAATTGTTAGCATGTCTCTAGCAAGGAACCATTTTGGGGTTGACATATTACCGTAATGACCATACACAAGGTGCATCGGATTTTAAGGCGCGCTGCGAGCTTTGAAGAAAATGGAAGGCTTTTAGGTGCGGCTTTTAGTGCGGAAGATACGGTACTTAAATCCTGGAAATTCAAAAATGTTTACAAAATTTTAGTTGTCATTCTTTGGTTTACCACTAGAGGGAGCCGTGTAGTACAGTTTTATAGAATCACTGCTGAAATGAACCCGTTTGTGACGTGCAATCCCCGCGCCAGGTGACCAAGATGCTAGCAGTGGTGGTGATCCTGTTCGCCGTGCTGTGGATGCCGTACCGCACCCTGGTGGTGGTCAACTCCTTCCTGGACCGTCCATACCTGAACAGCTGGTTCCTGCTCTTCTGCCGAGTGTGCGTCTATCTGAACAGCGCCATCAACCCGCTCATCTACAACGCCATGTCGCAAAAGTTCCGCGCAGCCTTCCTCAAGATCTGCCGATGCGGCCGCAAGGCTTCCGACAAGCCGGTGGGCTCTTACGGCGCGGCACTGAGCTACAGCGCCGTCAAGGACTCGTCAGTAGCAGAGTGCACAGACCGCTTTCCCACCGACGTGGAGGAGGTCACCATCACCGACGGGCTACTGGTAGAGCACAAGGGCATCTTCGGCGGATCCTCCTCGTCTCCTTCCTATGAGAAAGCGGACTTCAAGATGGCGGCTTGAGCGTCTTCACAGAACCCAACCTTTCTTGAGCCGCGGCACATATATTCCAAAAATGTCGGTTAATGTCGAGCGTGTTGCTACAGAGTCGTCTATGTAACATGGGTTCATCATTGTGGTCATGCTACTTGTATGGCTTGATGATGCTTTGCTGATTATTCTGTGTTGTGGCAGACCACGGTAAATAACGCAAGATAGTACTTTTGAGGACTCGGGTGTGTTTGTGTTGATCAATTTACCTACCAAACAGTCATATATGTAACATGGTCCTATGATTATGGTCATGCTAGATGCATGGTGTGGATACTTTGCCGATTATTGGTCTGTGTCCCAGGTCAGAGTAAATAAATCCAGCCATGACGGTTTTGGGGCAGGGTTAGGGTGTCAAACAAGGGGGATCATTTGAAAATGCTAAGTTAGGGTTTCAAATTAGGGTTCAAGCCCGGGGTTAGGGATTCCAAAGTGTTTTACAGCAAGGGCTGGTGTTTTGAATTACGGTTTCAAGCCTGTGTTGGGGGTTCAAGTTAGGGTTTCAAATGAGGTCTTTCAGCCTGGTTTAGGAATTTGAAATTTACAACAGAGGTCAGGTGTCTGAATTTGGATTTCAAACTTGGTTTTGGGTTTCAAAGTTGGGTTCCCAGCCAGGGCTTAAGATTTTTAAATGCGTTTTCAAGCAAGGGTTAAGGTTTGGCTTGGCTGGAAAATTCTTCAGACAAAATCTAAAGGAAGAATCCTTCAATTTACATCATGACTTCACATTGTACATAGCAAGATGACAAACATGATGATGGCCCAAAGGAAATCATGTAAAAAAAATGGTTTGCAGCTAAAACTAGTCATTTTATAATTATAAACTACCAAGAAAAGGGTCATCATGATTTCCATTGTACAGGAAGGACTTTTGTTCAATGTGCAATTGTTATTGTGACTTTCTTCTGGCGTCTGATTGGCTGAGAGGACCATACACTTGCCCAACTTACCTGTTGTTTTGGGAAAAAACTCTTTCAGCGCACATTTGCTTTCTCCACCATCACGGACGCGAGGCCGAATTAAGAAGACTGCCTGCGGTCTCCCGGCAACCGCCTCCCTTGATTGACGAGATCCCAATGAGGACGATGTAAATTGAAGCAGTCATGCATTTCGAAAAACTCTCGTTTCATGTCATATGTTCGTGTGTGTGCTTTGGGTGGCAACTTTTTTTTTTCTTCCCTAGACCGAAAAAAAGAGGCTATTATTCAACTGCTGTTCTGTCCTTATTTATAATGGAAGCACGGAATGTGAATGGCTGTCAGATGGAGCGGGAGATGCGACGGCGCCAGCGGAGGAGGAGGACGAAGATGCTGTGTCGCTGCCGATAAACACCGTCTTATCTATTGTGTAAGTGTGAAACTATGTGCGCGTATTGGTGCAAGACTGTTTTATTGTCCGTGACTTGTTTTAAAAAAATATATAAGATTGTATTTTTATATTGATTACTAGCCCTCACGGATAAGTGGGTGTTGTTTAGTTGCAAGTCCTATTTAAGATGCCGCCGTTGTTGGAAAGTGGAGCTGTGTTGTGCTGCCAATAAAGATGCTTGTGGAAGTGGGCTTGAGGCTTACGATTAATAATGTGGATGCTAATGCTATTTTTCCATTCAAAAAGGACTTTTTTTTTGCCCCCCCGAAGTCAGAATTTTCCCTAAAAACTCTCAGAATTTACAAAACAGGAATAAAATTGGTCCGTGTTTTTTTTTTTACTACATCTTTTTTAAATCAGAGATGCAAGTACATTTTTATTTTGCGCCGATTCCTAATCTGCCCTCATTTTTTTCACATCACATCAGATTTTCATCAACAATAGTAATATACTTCAGCAACAGGAGTTTGGTTATGAAAGGGCAATACTGTAGCTATAAATTAGAACCCATGGTAACATCCGTATTTTATAGGTCAAATTTAAAAACAAAACAATGTGCAGCTCATTGGACATGAGGGGTGAAAAAGCACCGATGCTTTTTGTATGTGGAGGGGGGAGAAAAAAAAAATCACTTTTCTGAGGTGAGAGACGAGTTGACCCTCCATCAGACGCCTGACGTGGATGACGTGCCGGAACTTTATTAGGAATTGCGCCGCCGCAACTTTTCATGCGAAATGAGCGAGAGGCGACCTGTTGACTCTGAAGGCCTCCTTGCACGTCTGCTTTAGGCTTGCTAATAAAAAAAGGCAGGAAGGGGAAATTCAATTGTACGCCGTTAATGACATTATGCGTGTTTTTTCCACAGAACCTACCACCCCCTGCCCGAGGGGGGGCGATCAAAAAAAAAAAAAAAAAAAAAAAAAAAAAAAAAAAAAAAGAAGAGGCAAAACGAAAAGAACCAAAAGTGAGGATACGGACTATTTTCTGCAGGATTTAGTGGATGAATGAGAACAGCTCAAAAAATGACAAAGCCACACACAGGAAACTTGTCTTTCATAATGTATGTCAATAATCAAAGCTAAATATGTATATCATAGAATGAACGTTGGCGTAAAAAACAGGATCAAAGAGGACTTTGCACCCCATAATCTTCAGCAAAAACTGCTGACTTGAAGTAACATGTTTCCCAACACTAGTCTTGGATATAGACTTACTAATACAACTAAATAAGTAACCATTTCGAGTGGTGTATTGATAGCGCGTCATGCATGATAATGACGCACAAGGCGAAAACACTTGTGTGTCATCCCAGTGAGCGTCAAACAAGATTGCTATTCCACATATAGCAAGCTTCGGGTCAAAGTACATCAATGGTGTTTATGCAAATGCATGCAAATTGGTACAAACTGTCAAAGGTGCAGCACTATGGGGTGCAACGTCAAGCAATCTAATTGACGAAGAAGGAACGGCAGGAAATTATGAATGTGGGGGAAAATTGGCGGGCGTGTGGAGAATAATAAACGCGTATGTCCAAGTGGCCGCAGACTTACAATATGTACACGGGGGCGGCGCGTTGACTTAATTCACTTCAAGATGACATCTCATGACTTCAATATTCTCCTTTGGAACGAGGTGCACGATTTGGTTTTTGATGCGTCCATTCCAGACACTCTAGCAGGGGTGGCCAACGTAGGGAGGTCCGTCCCACTGAGACTTAATATTGAGAAAAGTTGACAAAGATTTGTCGTAGTGCACAAATTGTTGAATTCCACTGGGGTTCTTAATTTTTTTTTTTTGATGTGCTTTCTAAAATGAATTTAATCACAAAAATGAGTTGTGAAATGATTTATGGTAAAAAGAGAGAAAATAGAACAGGGATGGCTCCAGTATATACTTATCTATATATGTCTAGCTATATCTATATGTGTAGTTATTCAAAAAATTATTCACTAAATTAGTTCAGAACGATATGACAAAAAATCATTTAGATTATGATCAAATCTGAGTTGTTCCACCCCTGGACTAAGCAGACATTTGACACTTTCTGTCTGAGGGAATGCACGTTTATTTTCCAGACTGCTCTGCATCCATCTTTAATTATTATTAACCTTTAGCACAAAGAGGTTACCGGAGGTGAGGGCGAAGAGCCTCTCATCGGTGGCCCTGAAGCCCAGCACGGGTTTGTCCGAGTCCAGGCTAGCCACCTGTTGCTTGGCAACCTGCCCTACCTCCCGGCCCAGCTTCCTGTTGAAAAGCACGCCGTCCACCGGGGATGGCTGGCGGTAGATGAAGGCGCGGCGCAGGCACTCGCACAGCGATGCGTATGAGTAGTTAGGGGCGCACGTGGAGAACTTCTTGTCCCGCTTGGATGCCTGCACGTAGCCTGACAAAGAGGAGATACACGCTCACAATTAAGCTAGCATGCTAAGCTCATACTGTTGATGAGCCTCACGTGAAGCTGGTTTGTTCTGAAAACCAGCGTTAAACATTTATGTGACACAGACGCAACATTTAACAAAGAGGCACACGGTGTGTGTGTGTGTGTGTGTGGGGGGGGCATGCGACAAACAAAAGGGCACAAAGCTTTATGGCGGCTGAAAAAGTAATTATCCTCCCCCCGAAAAAAAAAAAAAAAAAAAAAACCTGATTAGCACAAGTGCCCCTTTGCAGCCTTCCGACTGCTCATTCTGCTTCCTCATTAGGACTTGCGAGACTTGTCCTAACTGTCTCCCAAACTTAGGAGAATAGTTGTATTTTTTTTCCGAGACAGATAGATATAATACAGTCATGCATTAACATGTTCTTGCTTCAAACTATTTATTGGCACTCCCAGTGAAAGTTTACTCCAAAACTAAACAAAATGAAGACAATAGCATGTTGGATATTTAGCCAAACCAAAAAAGTCACGACCGAAAGTCAGCTAGCTTAATGCTAACACATAATGGGAAACACTATAGACTGGCTGACAAAATTAGCATAAATATTGCACTCGTTATTAAAAAAAAAAATGTAAACAACAGCAGAGACAATATGACAAAACCCAAGAAAATATTCCTTATCCTCCGCAAATAACAACTAATATAGGTTCGTTGGGACTTCTCTGCGATTGGCTGGCAACCAGTTCAGGGTGTCCCCTGCTTACTGCCCAAAGACAGCTGGGATAGGCTCCGGCACGCCCCACACGGCGCAAAATCATTGACAATAAGTGCGTTTTTTTTTTTTTAAAGATATACCAGTATTTTACTTAATGATTAGTTCATGAATTATAATAATTCAAAATTCTCAATCAATGAATCGGAATTATTTGATTTAACAACTACCACACATACACTGCACATTTAATTTGGATTCATTTTATTAAACAATTGTTTCATTAATTCCAATTGAATTATTTATAAACAATACAAATTAAAAAAAATAATTACCTACACAATATTTTTTAATGTATTTTATGAACACGTTAGTTCATTAAAATTAAATGACAAATGATATAATGAACATAAGAATTAAATAAAGTATATTTTTCAATTATTATTTTTTTTATTGTTGAATGAATAATACATCTGCAATTTCAACTCGCTCTATTATTTTTTTTTTTCATTAATTTGCTCTCAAAATCAAGGCGAGCATGAACTTTCTTACCCAGGGCGTTGAAGGTGGCGACGTGCTCCCACATGTCGGCGGGCCGGTCAGGCCGCGGCTGCCACAGCAGGGCGTCCACGTCGTGACGGAGGCACATACACGGCATCTGGGCCGGGTCCACGGTGACGGTGAAGAGGTACTGATGGCTGCCCAGGTTCACCTGCGAGCGGGCAACAGGAATCCACCAAATCGGTTTTTGACATTTCATGTCTGGTTAACTGCGTTGCTTTTTGTCGCGTCAAGTAGAGACACGTGCGCCTGCGTCATGCTGGGTGGCTATTTTAGATTAATATAGTTGTTGATCACTAATGTATTTGTCATATGTTAATTTTAAATAATTGTGTGCGTTCGTAATCACAAAAAGCAAACCCTGGTTTGAATAAACACAATGACATTTGCTTTTTTTATAAGCAAAGGCACGGTGGGGGTTTTAAAATCCGGAAAAGGACTTTCGTGAAAATAATAATCAGGAGATTTCATTTTAAAGCGCTCAGCCCTAGCGCCTCGTCAAGTGGAAGGCGACGACAAGCATTTCAGCGAGCTCTCACGCCTCCACTCCAAATCTCATTTTCCTGCCACTTGCCGGGCCAGCGCTGAGGAACACAACAAAAATGGCGAGCAAGGATGTTGGGGAGGAACATGACCCACCTTGAACGTGAACAATCGAAACCAAGACGAGAGATAAAGCGAACACGGCCACGGAGCCACCTAGCGTGACAAAAATGTTTGATGCGAATTTTGCATCCATCAGGCATAATTACCCATTGCAAACTAGCTGTCAGACACGGACAATTCGTCTGTTTATTGACTGTCAGTCATCCATTAAATAACATGATAATCTGCAACGGGACTAGCTGTCAGACACGGACAATTCGTCTGTTTATTAACTGTCAGTCATCCATGAAATGACATGATAATCTGCAACGGGTGGATGGATAGAGGAACTGGACACTTCGTGGGCAGTGCAGTATGATGATGAGTGGATTAAATTTTTTGGATTACAGACACAATTTGAGTTACTGGCGCTGCCTGCTAGGAACACGTTTTTGTTGTCATCGCTGATAAATATGGTAAGCATAATATGGCCGTCAACGTATTTATTTATTTTTAATCCAAAGCCTTTTGGGTTTCACCTTTCAAATACAGTGCTACCTCTACTTGCGAAATTAATTGGTTCTAGGAAAAAAATTAATTTCTTAACTAGAAAATTTTGTACTGCACATGTGGAAGATGAATCCATTGGAAATCAATCTAATCAAGCTTTAGTCTGATAGCAGGGAGGGTTTGATCTAATCGGCATTATGCATGATGCATAATGCTGTCAACAATGAGTCATTGTGCATTTGTTCATGTCGAGTATCACGGCCCTCATCTGGTGCTGAGGCTTAATGCTGTCTAATTATTGTTTGGCAACCACTCCGCGGTTGTCGCGGGGGTCTCTCAAGAACCTGTTTCCCGATACAAAAGAGGACAAGGACGCAGCCATCAAAGGCCGACATTACAAAAACAAGTCTATAAGAACATTTTGAAACAGACAGTGGCAAAAACAGCAGAGATGCTCACATCGTATCTGTTTTATTTGCTACCAATCACTGATATCACAAACTATTGATCATCAATTTAATTAAAACAAAATAATAAAAGACCTTTTCCTGTTTGACTGGCTCTGTTTTCAAGCAGATAGCCAGGATAAGGCTGGGAAGTTCAACTTGATCATCAAGAACAAAAGGTGCTAAATGGATCGGATATGCTGAAATTTCATGATGAAAGGTCTTTTGCAGAAGGGAAGACATATCAAACCTGGCACAAAGCAGGATGCAAGAAAAACAGGAAGATAAGCCTCCGCTGAATGAAGTTGTGATAAACGCACACATGCAACTGAGTCACATGCTCACACAGGCAGTGGTAGCCTTCAAAAAAGGCGGATGGCTATTTGTGAGCAGCGGGGAAACATTAAAAGGGCTTTTCACTTTCCGGAAAGACACAGCATCGCTTACATTCAAGCTAATGATGAGCCTTTCATTTATTAGGCCATGAAGTGGACTCCTGTGGTAGCTTTGTAATGGAGGGACAACCAAATAGAGAGAGGGCCATTAGCCCTGAAACACACATCATTCAGACCCCCTCTCCATTCTTTTTAAAAAAAAAAAAAAAAAAAAAAAGTTTAGAATTGAAAGAAAGGACCACATTACTTGTGTGTCACATGTTTTCGATGAATGCCGAGCTGGTGATAAAAATAGCACACACGTGACGCATTGTTCACCTTAGCGCCGAGAAGGTCACCAGGAGCCTTTTTGTCACCTGGATGGATGCAAGCTCCTCAAACAAGCTAAAGCAAGCTAAAAGCAATAAATCACCGACGCAGGGGGCTGTAAATGACAAAGTATACCTCGGCGCGACATTAATGCCACCATAAATCATATAAAAACACCATCCTAAGTGCTTATGCACTAGCACAATGCAGAGGTCCCAGAAATGGACAATAGCAGGAAAGCATCATTACAGGATACAATCAGCGGTTCAGATAATGGATGGACGGAAGTCTCCTTGGAAGAACGCTCCTCAAAATGGCAAGCGCACACAGACCCAAAAAGAAAAGGTAAGTCTACATCAGCGTGTGGTGAATTTTCAATTACTCTGAATAAGCCCACAAATTAGTTGAACTACAGCGCTGGGGTGGACAGGAAAATAAACTCCTACTGGTGAAAGTCAAACGTGAATCGTTTCTACATGCCATGGAATATGAATATGAATAGATGAGTGTAAAGGAACCCAAAAATAAGTTATGTTATTCATTCTGTATATATTTCTTTATTAATCATCTGATTAAACATTACTGAAATTTTATTCTGCCAAATAATGCCATCGGCCACAAAAAGATCATATCCGTCAGGCCCTTGTGCACCCGATGGGGGAGTTTCGACAATGTCAAAAGTGGTCGTGTACTCACCACCTGAGTGGCCTTCAGCGACTCGCCGTCAAAGTGCACCAGGCTGGAGGTGTCCTCAGGATAGCCGTCGCAGTCCTCGAGTCCCTGGGAGTTGCAGGCCGGCTTGTCCAGGTCGGGATTAGCGTGCTGGGAAAAGAGAGCACAGAGGCGGACGAGTTATTCTTGTTCTGCATTTATTAGCATGAGAGCAGGCCTTGATTAGCCCGGAGAAGCCAAAGTGGGAACAGATGGCGCTAACAATGGCTGAGAGGAAGTGGGCCCCAAACGTCTGACTAAGGGTGTGATGGGGTGCGAGGAAAGGGGGGCTCAGAGCAACTGAAAGGGGCTGGTCATCAGTACAAGGCAAATTTAAAAATTGGAGGGATTCAATTAATCTGGAAAGGAGGCAGAGCGGAACAGAGCATGCCTGAAAGACGAGATGTAAACTCTGGAGACAAGAATGAAGTTATTACAACATAAATGGTTGATGAGGTCACTATTATGTCTCACTGAGCAAAACTGTCTGTACTGGGGAACCTTGCGTGAAGACTTTGAATCAACCTTCATTGACTGTTGCAGGCGAGAAGGGAGCCTGTACTATTTCGGGAAAAAAAAAATGCAAATGTTAATAAATCCGTGACTAAGGGAAACGACAAGCCATCTCCCATTGGGAAAACTGAGGACTTTGAAAAATAAATGGGGAAACCTTTTGTCAAACTTACTTCACAAAGGTATTGAGTGCTTGTGGAGGCTGCCAAAACGAGCCAATGATTCATAAAGCAAAAAAAATAATCATCTAACATGGAGTAAGTCCTCGTCGGCAGTGTTTGGCGCTATACTGTCGCAGTTCAAACATCGGCGAATCATCATCTGCATCAGAAAGAAAAGTCATTGGCTCACCACGTCCGCTGAGGTCAGGTGGGTGAGCCTCTCCTGGACGAGGGCAGCCTGCTCATCGCTCATCACGTGCTCCCCTCGACGGTCACCCATCACCAGCTCGGGCCACATGGGACCTTCCGTGCGCTTCTGCAGACTCACTTCCAGGCTGCGGAGGCCAAAATAACAATCACCATCAAATAAAGTGTTACTTTGAAACGTCTTTAGACTACAAACCTTTTGTCATCCCTGAGGATCCAGGCACAGGCCTCGGGGTCTACGGAGGCGTACAGCTGGCCCTCCAGCAGGGGGGCGAATCCCCGCACGCCGACGCTCATGGAGTCCGCCGTCAGCCGGAACTGGACTGCGTCCTTGGTCACGCCCTCAGGCAGACGCACGTTGGCCGTGATGTCGTCTGACGTCTGCTGCCAGAAGTAGACGGGATCTGGATTGCGAGGGACATCGAGTGTTTATAATTAGCACTTCAAAACTTGTTTTGAGGAGCACTTGCAATCATATTTGATTATGAGCAGCCAACCTTGCAACTTGAGTCTGTCCAAGAAACTCCTCTATACGAGCCCCCCCCCCCCATCAAAAAAAATCCTGCTACTGCGTGTGACTGCCACTCTTGTATGAGATATTGCCATTTGTGTCATGATCTTGGCAGTAGTCGACGTATCACACATTATGCAGCCATTCTGTCACTGCTGCTCTGTTTTAATTAGTCAGATTGGGCTCAGGCAAATTTTCCAATTAGTCAGACATCAAGCGATTTCTGACTAATTGGAAGATTAGCTTGTGTAACAGAACTGCCGTTAATCGGGAATGTTCGGTTCAGTTTGCTTGTCGTCAAGCTTTCCCTGCAGGCGCTAGCAATGCTCTTTTTTTTTCCCCCTCCTTTCTCCGATCATTGGCAGCTGAGTGACACCAGGGAGCAAATCTTTTGACCTGAGGTAGGAATGCCGTGGTGCATTTCTTTCTCTGGGTGGCTTTCTCTCACCAGGTCAGCGGAGGACAAGAATGAGGATGTTGTTTGGCATCTCGGAATCTTGAGCGAGAGGCAGCCTGCGACTCAAGTACGAGGTGGTGAAGTGGCCCTCGTTCACATTTTGTGATTTGATGTTGGTTCACGCCACGAGTGCACGCTTGGCAGGCAAAAAGTAATTTCTTTGATCCTTGGTGGACTCTTATGAGACGAGTTAAAGCGGACGGGATACATCGAAGCTTTGGAAAAGTGCAAAACGTAGGCCTGCTGCTCTGTACTTGCAAATATGTACTCATGTGAAACAGTGCCATAGCTTAGCTGTCTTTGTGTCAATGAACTGAAAAATAGTGATTGGTGAATTGGTGGATGTCTACTGTATTCCCAAAGCTGGAAATGCATAGAAATAAAAAAAAGACGGTGGTCTGTATGAATGCAATGAATGACAGACTGTCAGGCATGAATAATACGATTCGACCATCACAAAGAGAAGAAAATGTCAGATGCCTCGCCTGCTGTGACTATGCTCACGACTTCATCGCAGCAAATTGAACATGGATAAAACAAAACAGCTTGTCTTCTACCCACCTGCCTTCTCCACCTCCATAGCTTGTTCATCCGCCGCCGACTGCGGCTGCTTGAGGGGCTTGCCGTCCACGTGCGTGAAGTCGAATGGCCTCTCTGACGCCACCATCAGACCGTCGCCCCGAGGCGTCACTGCGGCGTAATGAGGCACCGACTTTCCTTGGAGGAGGCACCTCTTCTTCACTTTGTAATTCTTTTCCACGCCTTGTGCGAAAAGTTATCCGTTATTACAAGCCCCCAGTAGCCATGTTTTAAAAAAAAAAATTCATGTGATGGAGAGTTCAAAGAGATATTAATGGGAACATGCATGTAGTTGCAAGTGGAAGAATATTAGCTTGGCACAAAAACAAATTATACAGTTTAGTTACATAGTTTTGAGAATTAATTTTTTTGTTTTTATTTTGTTGGCTTATCTGACAAAATGATCCCCGAAAATGTCCAAAATGACCACTTTGAAACAAAATGGCTGAAAACACGTCGGCCCCCCCCCCAGCCCCAAAAAAGGCCGCCAACCTCTGGAATGAACAAGGCAGCCAAACGGATTTCAGTTTCTTGCCCACACCTTGCCCTGCCGCGTTGGTGACCGTGATCCACTCAAGTGTCACCGAGTATCCACTTCCCGCTGTTTCCTGAGTGTCCTTGACGACACGCAGCAGCAGGACCTCCAGTGTGTGGGTGCCCGCCTGGACGTGGGCCAGGCTGTGGAGGACAATGAAGGGCTCGCCCAGGTCTTCTGTGAACAGCGGCTGGAAATGCAAATAGCCCATTGGAGTCCCTTATTTACATCAATCATTGATATGATTCGAAATAACAGTGGGTAAGAAAAGTTGATTCATCCTGTTTAAACCCCAGGTGTGTAAGCTTTTTATATCCACCCTAAAATAACCACGGCTGCAAACAAAGTGCTGTGGATGGAGTACAATTTTGACTTACAACAACAAAGACAGTTAAAACAACACATTTATATCATGAAAATAGTAAAAAACATAAAACACACAACGCCGAGTCTCATGCTGAGTCAAAAGGCATAGAATAAAATGTGTTGTAAGACGAGTTTCAAAATTTAGCTCGCCACCGAAGATGAAAAAAGCTGAATTCAACAACAGCACCAATTTGCTGGTCCAATTTGAAATCCAAGTTTGTGATTGATGGCCTTAGATAAGGCACTATAACTTCTGTTTTCTTTTCATTGAAATACAAGAAATTCAGTGCTATCTAGGCCTTGATTTCCTCCAGATAGGACAAAAGTGGCCTTAAAGCGAACGCGTCCCTTTTGCTCAGATTGACTGTCTAGATCTGACTGTCATCCGCATCACAGTGGAAAGAAATACCATGCTTTCTTAAGATTGGAACCCAGAGGCAGCAAATACAATGAAAACAGCTGGGGCTCCAAAATTGAACCCTGTGGAATACCATACAACAGTAGAGGAGAGCGGGACTCAGAGCAACCAAGGCTAAAAAAGAAAGGATACGAAGTAAGCAAGCAAGCATACGAACCTCCCACTTTCCATGGGTACTGTCTCCCCGTTTGCTGGTACGAAGCAGGTAGAGTCGCCCGGCGCCGTCAGAGAGGGCGGCCCAGGTGGCCGACGTGAGGTTGAGGGAGGGGCACACGCGGTCTTCGCGTTGGTTCCATTCGGGTGGTAGGCGAAATACCTCTCTTGGCTTGCCCAGCACTGTGTCCTGCAAAAGCAAACAAACACAGAAAGATGACGCCGACCGTAGAAAAGGACGGCAAGGTTACAGCATACTGTTATCTAACAATTACTGTATTTTTGTTTCATCTTTTTCAATATTTGTATATTTTACATCATCATTTTTACCTTCAACTTTTGTACTATTGCTCTACGAAGTTAAAACATTTTTCTGATTACATTTTTTGTAATTTCCCCCCAACATTTTTTGTACCTTTATATCATATTTGTGTATGCCTTTAATGTTTCTTTTTCATTTTGTATTTTTCTAAACTTCTCAGTTCCTCAAAAAAAATGTTTTGACTGTTTTCCAAGTATTTGTACATTTTTCAAATAAATCTACATTTTTCCATCTGCATTTTTGGTTAAAAATGGAATTTGCGAGATGCGGCTTCTCTGCACAATAGGAAAAATACCTTTAATTCAATTACCCACACACAAATTCATTTCATGTTAATACAACACATGATTAATTACGGCAAAATCAGTAAAACTTCTCTATTTCTATTCTTGTTACTATTACTTCCAAAGTGCAAAAATTGAAGTCACACTTCCACTTTGGAGCCAATCAAAGAAGCAAGGAGGGGAAAACAACAACAACAAATACGACATGACACACAGCCGAGCCTGCATGACTCCTTAGTGATAGACAGATGTGTCCTTCCCGTTGCCGTAGCGACAGGTCCCGGGAGTTTTACGTGGCAAACTGGCCTTGCACATCCACATCTGTGGCGCAAACGTGACTACACACACGCACACATGCAAGCACACGCGGCAATGATGATTGGGACATAACAAGAAATCGGGTGAACATCGTTCAACTGTGTGAAGTGTGCAGCCGATGTGCCAATCAAGAGACAAGCCGAGCTTCATCTTGAAAACAAAACTTGTCTTATCAGCTATCTAGTCGGGTCGTAAGTCTCAGTGCTCATCAAAAATGAGACATTAGAAACTATCCATCCATCGTTTATCTGATCATCTTATCCTGAGGGTCGCGGGCGTGCTGGGGCCCATCCAAGCTGTCTTCGGGTAATAGGCGGGGTACACCCTGAACTTGACCAAATACGTACACAGAAGGTTTCCTCCCGAGGGTGACAGTATCTTACAAATAGATTATCATATACTCATCATATACCCATCTGTCTGTTTTGAATCTCAAATGTGGCCCTTCAGCCCAAAAACTTTGACCACCACTTTGCTTGTTTGTTCATGGGTGCAATGAAAGATACAAAGCACTTTGAGCCATGTGGTGCTGTTGGTCACCACCTGCTGGTGAACAGAGGCATCGAATCGTCATTGCAAAATGAACAAGAGTGGAGGATTGTGCCCAGGAAACACAAACACACACACACACACACACACACACACACACACACACACACAAAAAAGCATCATTCCAGGCCTACCAAAGTGACGGTGAGACTGAGCACTCGCCCTTTGCAGTCCACAAATAACACGCTGTCTTGGTACCAGGGGTCCAAGTGGAGGTAATTGTACATGCCAAACGCACGCATGTGCTCCAGCGTGTACTGGCAATCCTTCAACGCCACCTCTTCCACGGCTGCATGGAAACGAGAGAGCAGAAAGGTCAGGCGGAGAAGAAAGGCAAGGGAAATGCCAGCTTTTGCAACCCCCCCCCACCCCACAAAAAAAAAAGACTTATAAACACCTTATTTATTATTTATATATTATTTATTTATTAAGTGATATTTTTGGACAATATCTGAAATCGCACATTACCTTTTTTTGGACTAGTTGGACTTGGCGTTCATGCTCTGATCATGAGATGATGTCATTGTCATACGGGGACAAAAAAATCAATTGCAACTGAAGTAGAGATTTTATGACAAAGCCATATCGGCCAGCCTGACAAAAAAAGGATAATGTGGCCACATCACAAAGAGCACCTCTATTCACAAGCTGGACAAATAGTGCAATTTACATGATGAGCCACTTTTTGGTCACCTAATAGGCCTGATTAGAGGTTTAATGATGGGTTTAGGCCGATCTAATTAACTTCGACTCATATTATGAGTCCCACAAACATCCATCCAACCTCCTTTGGGTTGTGGAGAAAACGGGCCTATCCCAGTTTACTTCGAACGACAGGACTGGTTGTCAGCCAATCTAAATTAGACAAGAACGAAGGAAGACGCAAGTGAGGCATTAATTGCAGGGCACATATAGACACACAGTCAATTACACTGATGGACAATGTAGAGACTTCAGTGAAGCTAAAATGCGTGTTTTTGGAATGTATGATGGAAGCAAGAACATCACAACATCAATCTGGATTTGGTCTCAGAACCTGCAAAATGCGAAACCGACATGCCAACCACTTGTCCAACATGTTGCCTTCTCACAAACATGTTGCGCTAAAATGACACTGGGTGGAGAGCAAATCTAACCAAGTAACATCAACACGGACATTGTTTGTGATGCTGATAAATATCAGTGTCATCACACTGATATGTGTAGTAAAGATGACAACATCTACTGGAAATTATGCAGTACTGATATAATACAGCTCAGGTCTGATTGAATCTAAGTACAACTTTGCATTAACTGTAAATGGGGATATTTAATACTTGCTATATTTACAGAAATTGAACCACAACTTTTATGAGGATAAAATGCATTTTCTTTTTACTTATAAACATTGTCAGAAGAAAAAAATAATCAAAGGAGGCCGTGAAAAGATTTTCAGATTTCATGATGAATAAACTTCAAACTAAATTATTAAAACTTATCAATACAATATCGGCAATAATTTCCTGGGTATCAGAGTAACACTAATCTTGCAGTATCGTACACACTACTTTAAATAAATACTGAATCGATTTATAAATTTATTTCTGCAATTATAGACATATTAAGGTTAAAAGACAACAATGGCCAACATTTAAAATGGACAATTCAGATTTATAATTTGGCGTAGTTTACTTTTAAAACGGTCACTAGCAAATTAAGGTTGTATTAAAACGCTTTTATCGTTAACTTAAATAATCACAATATGAGTATCTAGTAGTTATGAAGCTCTTTTTTGTGCAACATGACATAATTGCGTAGTGTGTGCCTTGCGAAAATTTCAAGCTAACTTCAAGCTTACCAGCGTCCAGCTCAACGTTGTACGTCGGTATGACGTCCAAGGATAGCCGGTAACTCTCGAAGTTTGGGTCCAACAGCTCTCTGTTTACCTTTAGGGTATAATTCGACGTGGTCATGGCGTTTGTTTTATATTTCAACAGCCAAGGTTATTTTTATTTTATTTTTGGAGTGAGAGGGAGGAAAGGGCACGTTATTATGCACTTGTGGAGAGAGAGGTTTTTGTTTCGGGCCGGGGATATTATAACAGCGAACAGAAATGGGAAGTTGAGGCGCCAGTATAATTTAATTAAAAAATAACCAATGCGGACTTGCGGCGGGTGATAATATAATTTTAATTAACAAATTATTCAGATGAAATAGTGTAATTATCGTATGACATTTTGTGCGAATTTATCGAACAGGACCACGGGAGCGGAACAAAGTAGTTCCAGCCGTGTTTTTGCCGGTATATTGTGAACGAGGGACAAGGTGCTCCCGAGCAGATCACATCCAGTAAAAAGGTAAACCAAGGAAAAATTTCACAATCCATCTCTCTTTTACCTCACTAAAATATGTTCGTACGTGCTTATTCGCTTTTATTCCCCATCAGATCATGAGCAAGGACTCACAGATGAGGGCTGCTATTAACCAGAAGCTGATTGAAATGGGCGAGAGGGAGCGGTGAGCAAACTGAAGTCCTTTCCAACAATCACGGGCGTTTTTTCTCTTTTTTTTCAGAAAGACATTTTATACACTCTTTTGGCCACAAAATTATGTATACTTGCACAATTCAAAGTGAGATTGTACAACTGTGCCCAATGTGCCAGCCTACAAAAAAACTATTTGCAACTGTACTTGAGTAGATTTTACGAGTATCTGTACTTAGTCATTTTACTGACCACCTTTTTACTTTACTTAAAGGAGTTGAATAACTACATTTAATTTGACCCAAGTGGGTTATTTTTTTGGGGGGGGGGGGTGGCACAAGTGTCTGTACTTCCACCTGTGTGAGTACTTTTGCCATTTCTGCAGGTTGAAAGAGTTGCTCAGGGCAAAGCTGGTAGAATGCGGTTGGAAGGATCAGCTTAAGGCACACTGCAAAGGTAGTAATTGTGATCGGGCCTCTTTTGTGTACACTTGTGAAACTGACCACCTCATAAGTGTTACATTGCATCCCGTGTGTCCAGACGTGATTCGAGAAAAAGGCCTCGACCATGTCACAGTGGAGGACCTCGTCAACGAAATCACACCAAAAGGCAGAGGTAATACATCTTTATATAGCGCTTTCACAACAGCTGCAGCTGTAACAAAGCGCTTTACAGAACAGTTAACATAAAATAAAATCAACACATAACATAAAACAATCATACAATCGTAACAACTATTCCTGCACACGCCTTGTTGTTTGAAGCAGTTATAGATGAAAGAGAGAATCAAAATCTCCTTTCCACCGGCGGACCAGAGACGTCTCACACGTCGGCTAAAAGCCAAGTTTGAGAGTAAACAAGAAGCTGTAGCGTCCATTGACAATAAAAGAAATTGGTTCACTTCTCCTGTCAATTTTGTATCGACTTCAATTCCAACCAGCGACTCTCGGTTTCAAATACGTATCTGCGCTATGCGCGGAGGCTCCTCTCTCCTCATCCTCGGCTCCAACAGCCATTCATCGAGACGCACCAACGCAGACTTGTCCAATAATGCAGACATCTCCGCTGAGCAAAACGAGGATGTAAAAAATGCTGCCCATGACAGGCACAAAAAACACAAGTACTGGTACATGGTGTGCTGCCAAGAAGGTGTGACAATCAAGCACAGATTCTTCTCGAATGTCATGGCCAAAACGCTGAAAACAGTCCACAAAGGGTCCAGACGAAGGACAACAAACACCATAAACACCAAAAAGACTTAAAAAAAAAAAAAAAAAAGCAGAGCTCTTGCAGACGGCTGCCAACTAAGGCGCCATCTTGAAGTCGTAATACTAACATGGTTCCTTGAAACTGTCGTTGATTGCACAGTGATCCAGAGATCACAGGATCAAAACATTCACATCGCAAATCAACTACTACAGCCCCCATAAAAGACCACCCCAAAAATTGTAACGTTTTTAGTTAAAAAAAAAAAGAACTCCACAGTGTTGTACCTAATAAAATCACACAGTAATATTATAATTGAATAGAATGGAAAGATTGGTCATAATTCATTAGTCATTATGCTGCTGCTCCACGTGTGCACAAAGTGGCCACCAGGGGGCAGTATGACACAGTACATGTAGATTTTATGTTATAGATTGTAATCAGTCTTTTTTTTTTTTTTTTTTTCCCCAGAGGTAAAAGAATACATGCCAGTCAGTGTTATTATATTTCAAATATAAAGTTGTGGTTAAAAGTCTAATAGATATTAAAGTACCCATCTTCGCTCTCCTACTCTAACTGGCCCATGAAAGCTACTCAAAAATGTCAAAAGCTCTTTACCATATTTCAAGGTTTTTCAAAAAAAGTAAAACAAATGACTTTTCCCTCAAAACTAATCCCGATCATGAAACGTAATACATTTACGAATGGAATTATTTGGGGAGGAAAGTAGTGAGTAACTATAATTTCAATAAAATTGCAATCTCAACTAAAGCCAAATCATTTTTGAACATTTTCATAAGAAAAAGAATAATTCAACCTTGTCAGATGACCGTGGCCGTGATGACTGAGAATCTGCAAAGAGACAAAAATAAATACATTTTAGCAAGGACATTGGTGTTGTACATTGCAGTTTTGATGGTGAGATAAAAATTTGCAATTATGCTATTCAGCTAACAATTTTGCTATTTTCTCCCTCCTTCACTTAGCACTGGTTCCCGACAGCGTGAAAAAGGAGCTCCTGCAGAGAATCCGCGCATTTCTAGCTCAACATGCGGCCTTGTGACCAACAACTCTGCAGTCTGCTTTTTTTTTTTTTTTTTTAAACCCACTTTAGCTAGCAAGATAGATCCATAGGTAAAACCCAGACTAAGGTTCATTTACATCGTGTTGTTTTGTAATGTGTTTCATATATTTTTTTTTTTGTTTTGTTTTAGTTTGTTATACAAGCATTTTTTGGAGAAAAGAAATAAAAGTCATGCCTATTTTGGTTATCAGTGCTTGCTGTTTTTTGTTTTGACACCCGACTAATGATATAGCTTTCAACGCAGGCAGATAAGTGACGCATCACGTTGGTTGTTGTCGCTTTTTGATGGCAGAGACAGCGACAACGTGACAAAAATGCTGCCGACTTTGTTTCACGGCGTCTTAAAGATGTCATGTTATATTTCCCGTGGTACAGCCGCTGAAGTTACATAAGAGATAAATCAGTATGTCGCCGACAGTGGCTACAAAAAGTTTACACACTCCTGGTCAAATACCAGGTTTTTGTTAAAGCATTTGATTCTTTTAATGCTTTGTTTTAGAAAGTTAAAATGTTGACAGAAATGATTTTAAGATTTTTTTTTTTAAACACAAATTAAAAATAACTCCAATTATGTCATCAAATAAATGCACAGGAAGTCGGTAAAATCTGGGCGCATACTCTTGGTAGAACAATTTCAAAATGAATCCCAACTTTTCCTTCAAAGAACACCTCGAATATGATTTCCATCATTTGCAATGCATAGGTTGATCTGTTTGACAACATTTTAGGGAACTCGATGCACCAAATCCACATCGTCTTTCATTTTGATAACATTCACTCCTTATTCATTGAGTCAGTTCATTTCAAGTAATATTAACCATTGAGTCAATGTCATCATCAATTCTTTCTTCCTTTGCCAATTATCTTATGCGTCCAGATTTTACTGACAACCCTGTACATTTAACAATCTTCATTTGGATTGAACAATTTTACTGTTGAATATCAAATAAATCCAGCGATTATTTAGTGATATTTTAAGAGGGGTGTGGAGGGTGGGGGACGACGCAAAACAAATGCAACAACTGTGACACGACTCTTGTTCATGTAATGGCTTGGTGAACAAGCTTAAATGGCCACCCTTGGCCTGACTTTTGTTCAAGAACGTGATTTTTACCTCTATAATTCAAAACAATTCCAGGTAGCGTTACAAATAGCTGCGGCGAAAGTGTGACACGTGACACCGCACCCCCCCACACACACACACACCATCGCCAGTTGACAGCTCTTTTGTCTCAGTACCGTTTCGTTGCGGTTCGAGCATCTGGGCGTGGGAAGCTCACCTGCGGGCTCAGCCCACTATTTCGCAAGTGAGGCCACGTTCATAAAGAGCCACCACTCACCACAGCAAACAAAACAAAACGGAAAAAAAAAAACGCTCCACAACAAGTATGTGTCATTTCTTTTCTTGAAGACCCTAAGAGACATTCAAGATTTTTGAGACTGGGAACAGGTGAGAAAAATACTTTCTGAGCGTTAGAGTTGAGTATTTATCGCATTTTACTTCAATTTATTGACGTTTTTTGTTTTTCTGATGCTGCAGCGACAAAAGGATGACGGTCCGACCGGCGGCTCTCCTCCTCGCACTTTGCTGCTGCAGCTGTGAGTGAAAATGATCGCACTATTCTCACTACGACTGCAAAATTTGACCATGTAAAATGAAATACTGTGATGTTTTACTCAGACGCTCAGCGCCTGGATAACGTGCGACCGCATACAGGGAGCACAGAGGGAGCGACGCGTCTCACCCTGACGGGAGAAGGTAACCCCCCCACCCCCACCCCCCCTTCCAAGTGTGGCATTGCAATACTTCATTTACGGTTAACGCGGCTTTTTCTTTGTTCATCTGTCCACAAAAAAGGTTTCGCTCAAGAAGGACAGTTCCAGCTCAATCCCCAAAATGACACATTTGGGAACCGCGTGACATTGGTGTCGGACACTTTGTCCATCCCGTGTGATGTTGAGAGAGACTCCACGCATGGCAACCAGATCATGTGCTACACCAGGTATAGACCACAACAACAGCAAAACAAAATGAGGGTGTACAAATTAAAACAAGGGACAGCGCGGTGAAGTCGTGGTTAGCACATCTGCCATGCAGTCATGCGGCTCGGCGTTCGAATCTCAATGCATGTTCTCCCCCTGTGTGAGCGCATTTTTTTCCCTCCCCCAATTACTCCAGCGACGTCCTACACTCTGTACACTGTACCCCACAAATGCCACATGGGAAATCTGGAGTCCAAAGATAAACCCAACAGTACTGAGATTGTCAGCAAATGTTATGTTATGTTATGTTATTATGACTTCAAGATGGCGCCGCGAGAGTGGCTGCCTTTACAGCAGCTCCGATACTTTTTGTTCTTCTACTTTCTTCCTTTCATAACTTTGCTGCTGTAAATTGGGAATTTCTCCAAGGCTTTCTTATTCTTATTCTTAAATACATTTATGGATATCGATAGAAATCATTCACCTTGTAGCCAGACTGTAGTCGTATTACTTTACCACGTACATCATCTTCTTGGCAGACCCATGCCGAGTGACCGGTACACGGTCCGTGTCAGCATCAACGGCATTCCCATTCCTGATGAAGACATATGCAGAGGTCATATCAAGTCATACCATTGCAGCTTCTACGTAAGACTTCCTAACGTCCAAATAAAATCATCTGTCTTCTTTTTTTTTTTTTTTTTTTTTTTAATGGTGTTTTGTAATATCTCACTGTCCTCTTCAGACAAGATGGTATCACACACCAACCATCCAGTCTCTCAGTCCCGTCAGCGGTCTTCCAGGTGACATCCTGAATCTAAAAAAAAAAAAACCCAAAAAACCCCACCAAAAAACTGTTGAAATCATTCACTCGCACACTGCGTGAACTGCTAAAAATGGAAAATCATCTGCCGCAGGGACCTTGGTGACAGTGCGAGGACGCATTTTCACAGACGTCTACGGCAGCAACACTGCGCTGAGTTCCAATGGAAGGAACATCAGGTTTCTCAGGTGACAACCAGTCCCATGGTCCTAAATGGGTGATTGATAAATAGTGTCATGTTCTCCCAGTGCCTGGGTTTTCTCCGGGTATTCCGGTTTCCTCCCACATTCCAAAAACATGCATGGCAGGTTTGTTCGGGCACTCCAAATTGTCCCTAGGTGTGATTGCGAGTGCGAACGGTTGTTTGTCTATGTGTGCCCTGCGATTGGGGGCCAAACGGTTCAGGGTGTCCACCGCCTACTGCCTGAAGATGGCTGGGAGAGGCTCCAGCACACCCGCGACCCTCGTGAGGGTAAGCAGATTAGGAAAATGGATGGATGGATGCTTAGTTTATATCGTTGGCAAAGCTAAGGGAACTTTTTTTTTTTTTTGATAGCGTAAAAGTCCACCTAACCCTAGCTAGTTCTTAAGCAACACGAAACGTAACATGCATGTGCCACCTCTGCTACCTTGTAAATTGACGTGAAGAACGTGAAATCCTCCTTCACGCAGGGCCTACATGAAGGGGATGCCATGTGAGCTGCTGAAAACGGATTCTGATGAACTGTGAGTATTACACACACACACGCACACACACACACACACACACACACACACACACACACACAAAAATTGATTAAATGTATTTCATAGTCGCTGCAGATGCTACAATGTGCAACATATTTATATTTCTGTGAGTAGTTGAATTACCATATGTGTCTTTGAAGATATAATCTGAGACTTGATTCGGAGACCTCTGTCTGGGGATATATGAGCTGCAAAATGACAGGGACTTATGTCGGTAAGTTACAGTAGCTGACTAAAATGTATTATATTTTGTGTGTGTGTTTTGGTAAAGAGGGTTAGCGTTTGGTAGTGTGGGATAAAAAAAAAAAAAAAAAATTGTATTGTCAATTTTAACAATTTTTTTCCCGAACTGCCTCCTACAGGACATCACAACATGAGCTACATTTTGGATGCAAATTATGGCAGGTGAGGGGGAAAAGTCATTGTTTTAATATTAATAGAAAATAACTTTGATAGTTTAATAGGACTGCCATCACTCAGGAACTGAATAACGCATGTACAAATGTACTGACCATGTCAAAAATACCAATCGACCTGATAAAGGAATTCATTTTAACCATAGTTTGACTCATTTATTAAATTATGGCCAGGGTGCTGATATCAGTAGGCAGACATTTTAATTGTTTTTTTTTTTTTTTTTGAGCTATTAAAGTCGAAACAATTCCGGTTTGCATTTAAATTAAAATGTCACAACGCAGTCATGTTTAAATGCAGGAGTTTACCGGACAAGAACCTCTTCAAGGTCTCAGCCACTGGACACCTCGGCATGTTTCAGACATTTGCGGGTAAGTAAAATTTAAAGTTATTCAAACAATCGGAATCACGACTAAACCGTGTTCTGCATTTCAGAGGTTACGCATATCACGCCATCCGCCGGCAGTGTCATGGGCGGAACTCTCGTGACCATCCACGGGCACTTCTTCGACGAGACTGACCTTCCGGCGCGTGTTCTCGTGGGAGGTAATCACAAATAACCCCCCCAACCCCCGCCCCCGCCTCACTTCCCTACCCTTGTTTCCGTGACGATGCCTCAGCAGACATTGTGTGTCAATCATAAGACGACAAAAGGAGAAAACATTGTCTGTGAGCTCGCACGCAACACGATAATCCTCGGGTGCACATACTGTACTTGGCAACAATGGAAAAGAAGATGGGTATGGTAATTGCACAGATTCTTCTGGCAGATTAGAGAGACCGTTTCATGGTCACTTAGCTCTGCCATGTCAAAAAAACAAAACAAAAGAGTACACCACCATGCAAATATGTCACAACAAGTATGTCGTTCGCCTGATAGCATACGAAGTCATTTTGAACTGACCGGTACAAAAAAAATCCATGCCCCACTCCTCAACATTTTCACAGGGCAACCGTGTGAAATCAAGAGCCTGCGTGACGACGAGATCACCTGCGTGACACAACAGCAACAGACGGATAACAGCCGCGGCGACGGCATGAGCGTCTACCCGGGTGAGACGCTCCGATGCTTATTACCACAGCCACCTCGTCACTGTCCACTCCAAGAATTTAAAACATGTGGAAAGACATGCTATACGTGCCACTGTGTCTCACCATCGCTCATCAACACTTTGATCCTTTGTGTTCGTGCCTAAATGAGATGAGATGATAAATGCCTCTGAAAGTCACGCATCAAGCACCGTCTTAAGGTTGTTACGGTGTTCAAACAACCGAAAGAGTACCTGCTCTTGACAGCAGAGGCCTGCTAGAACCACCCTTGATTAAAATACCAGAGGAGGTGTTCGTGCAAAGCAGGGAGACTCTTTCCGGAGGACTGCACTGGAACTCAGGAGTGACAAAAGCTCGACTGAACGGATGATTCGAAGAGCGATAGCGCTTTGCCGGTACTGACTTCCAAGTTGTTGAAGTGAAAGATAGCGATGATCAGTTAACACTTGAGTCGATCTTCAAAGCATCTACCGAACTGAGCTTTTGTTGACACGGAGTTCCAGGACAGCTCTTTGGATCGCCTTTCCCTGTCTGTGCAAATAAATGCTTGCTGTAGGAGTCAGGTGTTTTCATCAGTGTGGTTTGTGATGAACAGACCCCGTTTTCAAGAAACTTGACATCGAGCCATACGGGGAGTGCGTGACCTGACCCATACCGCATCCTAGGGCAGTATGAAATAAACAAAAGATTCGCACTGGCATGAACTGCAGTCGGGACAGAAAAACAGTTTGCCAGGTGACAATTTTGCAAAGCTGGTCCAATGTCAACTGGCGAGCCACGGACAAAAGAATGATATTCGTATAAATAGTCAAAGGATGATGGCCTGAGGTCTTTCCGACTGCCTTAAACGAAGTGGTTAAAAAAAAAAATTGTGACGGTGACTTGTGAGTGGACAGAGACAGCAAAACGGGAAATACAAGCAAAGTCAAACCCATCAATGCTCATTGTGAAAAGTGCTCCATAGCGTAAATAAAATCTACTTCTCGACGTACGGCATCCAACCCAGGTGGCCGAGGCTTGAAGATGCAGGTGTGGAACGACACAATACATTCCCAACTGGGCGACATACGCAGCTACAACGAGAGCAAAGAAGGCTACTGGGAGCAGTGGATCGACTCCTTGCCCTACAACTTTGCGCCGGAACTGGACTATTTCAGCACGAGAACCACAGGCTTCTTTGTGCCACCGGCTAGCGGCAACTACACCATTTACCTCAACTGCGACGATCGCTGCGAACTTTACTTCAGCAACTCCAGCCGCCCAGAGGACAAGGCATGACGATATACAGCACATCGATGACTTTTTTTTTCTTCAAACCTCATCTTTCCTCCTCAAAACAATTGTTTCACAAACACCCCTTTAGGTCCAAGTGGCCTATCAGCCGAGCTACGTCTCAGACTACACAAAGCTCGCATCGCAAAAGTCTGATATCATGACGCTCGAGAAAGGAAACGCGTAAGTGCACCGATTGATACGAACAGTGGTGGGTCATCAGAATCACCGGCCAACATTTACAACCGAACTTCTAACAGATGTTTTGTCCAGTCAGATTTCAGCCTCTTATGCACTGCCATGTCAATCGAATTTGCCCAAGGCCTTCGGAATCAAAAGTGCTGGGAGGTGTAACAAACTATAGTCACAATGGGACGACTTCTTGAACCAATCACATTTTAAATTCGCCCAAGATTATTGTTTGGCGACAGCAAAATCACCACTGAAGGCCCAGTTTACGAAATGCATGGCCAACCACTGAATACCACAATACTCTCTCTAAGTTCACAAGAGCTGTAAAGTTCTAGTTTCTTTCCATTGTTCCTGCAGCTACTACATTGAAATTCTGCAACAAGAATATCGCGGAGTCGCTGGAATCAACTTGGCCATGTTCCGAGCAGAGAGTCCATTTACAGAAGCCCAGACGAACGATGCTGTCAACGAAGTGCAGCATATTTTGGTGGAGTATGAGGCATTTGATGAGAAACAGGTGCGTGGAGGGTTCGTCTCATTTCTTAAAAGAAGTGGATCTCTGTGAGTCCCGACACCGGTTTGTGGAATCTTCCAGATGATTACCTTGGAGTCATGGCCAAGCAATGCGAATGGCGTCAAAGAAGTACAGAAAGTAAGCGTCAATAGCAGCTGCATCGGCTCTCAGTGTGGAAATGTCTACTTCCGTCTGCACTATGAAGGCGCAACCACTGGTAACTTCGATGCGCTGTCAAAATCCGACCAGCCACAAAGCTGTTGTGAAGGATCCGTGTATCATTCCCAAAGGATGATCCATCAAATGAATGATCTTAAATCCCTTTAAGGTTCGATCGCGGTGAGCGCCACCGCGGCTGTGGTGGAGAGAGCCTTGAACAACCTGTGGTCGATCAAACCAGACTCTGTCCAAGTTACCAGGGACGAGGACGCTGATGGAGTTCATTTCACGGTGACCTTCTATTCTGACAGAGGTGAGCAGTCTTTCTCTAAGAGTTGCGCTGGACTTGTGTCAACAGTCGAAACACCCCAGTTTTTGACTCTCAGGTGACTTCAAGCCCCTTTATCACGAGAGTCATGACCTGTACACCAACATCACCGTTTCCGAGGTGACCAAAGGCAGGAGCAACATGGAAACCTTCACCTTGCTCTGGGGAGGGGTCGCTTCAAAGCCCATTCCCTACAATGCCAGCGGTTTCGAGGTCAGTTCCAGGATTAACTCCAAACTGCTCAGGCTGACAGCAAACCTAACGGGAATTTTGGGTCACCATGACCAGGTCCAGTCGGTTTTGGAAGACCTGATGAAGGCCGAATGTCCCGTTGAGATTCTCAGCGAGGAAGGAAGAGATGTGATGTTCTTCAAGGATTACGAAGATGACAATACCATGGTCAGTGAAGTGATGATGGTGAAATAAGCAATTTATCAGACTTTGATTTTGAAAACGACCTGAACCTGACTCTTACATTGAGCAGTTTGTCAACGACGGAGGGACTCCTACGAGAAATGCTTTCTGCGGTTTGTGGTCGCTGAAAAACGCCAAGGTTCTTTTTAAGAAAAGTTACACCAAAAAATCCGGCGAGGCCTATGAGGAAATTTCCCTGAACCTGTATCCAATGGTAAATGTGCTTTATTTGTGGCTGCACAGATGAAACCGAGATGCTTATCTGGATTAAAACCACATTGTTCCCTTTCCTTCCAGCTTTGCTTTGCACATAAGGGAATGCTCAAAGATGAAATTGGGGTCAAGTTTACATATAAGAACTCTGATGGCACTACTCAGACAACAACTGCAAAGATCAACATAGTTTTTACCAAAGGCCACGTGTAAGTAAAAAGAGCATCAAGTAAATCTATAGCAGACTAAAATACAGATGACGACTTGGCTTATTTCTGCGCAGATGGAGCTACAAGTGCGTGGACCTGCAAACGTCTCTGCAGACGGAATACAAAGGAAGCGCCTACACTGTTGAGGAAATTTACTTGGACAATGATGACTCTGGGGAAGATTTCTTTGTGGACGCTGTCCACATCGGCAAGAAGCGCACCGTCCAGGACGAACAAAGTAAGTAGCTCAGGTTTTAGGGTGACTGCTTTGAGAACGACCATATTCTGTTGCCTGAAAATCATTCCATGGTATTTGTGTGATTTTCCCATAGCTGTTCCCCACAAGAGGAGACCTTCACCATTTGAGGGCTCTGGTCGTGCTTTCCAGGAGATCTCTGTCGTGAAAGAGACAAAGTCAAATGCTTCACAGATCTGCTATGAGATCACAGCCACACCATTGGACTGCACCTTTGGCTTCCCCCTCATAGACGTTGGCTTCCTGCAGGTACAGGAACTCATCAAAAGAGCTCCCACAAGCATCATTGTGCCTTGGTTCAATACTTTTTTCTTTCCGTTTATTTGAAGATGTCCAACAGTAGCGAGGACATGAGCGAGTTTCAGGAAGGGGCAGCAAGGATCACCGTCACTCGCATCCACAAAGCCACCCCTGCCATAAATGGCACTTTTGACGTGGAGATGCATGGACAACGTATTGAAGGTAGCCCAGCTGGACTACAGACGATCTAGAAATACTAGCCCAGTCACAATTTGATATGAGAGCTGGTCATATGAAGGTCGAACCGGTTCTTTGTAGAAGCATGAGAAATGAGGTTGGCTGACCAGCGCTGCTTCTCAGGTTTATCCGTGGACATCGGCGCAGAGGACCTGAAGTACGCCCTGGAGGGAATTGCCGGTATGGGCGTGGTTGATGTCAAATATGGCGGAACATGCAGGAGGCCCAAGTGGGTGGTAGAGTGGCTGACACAGCCGGGAGACCAGCCTCTGCTGCAGCTCAACGGTTCATCGCTTCAAGGCAAGGATGTGGCTATCTGGGCCCGAGAGAAAAAGCAAGGAGGACAGATGATATCAAGTTTGATGGGAGACTTCTTCCGTGTCGGGGAGACCAAACCGCAGGTATTAGTCCAACATTCATCACAACGCCACCGCTCCTAAATCAGGTTGCGGTTGGATGATCACCGTTGGCGGCTACTCCGTTTCTAATTCAAGAGATGATGCCTTCCAAATCCAAACCTTTTCCACAAGAACTCTGACATTCTCACAGGTGGAGGTTTACATCAATGACATTCCCTCGAAGTGTTCCGGAGACTGTGGCTTTGAATGGTTGGCAGAGAAGACACCGGTAATAAGCGGAATCAGCCCATCTCAAGGTGATTTCCTCATCCTCATTGCCAGAAACTGGCGTTCGAATCCTAATTAAAATGTATTGATGGGTGCTGAGATTCTGGGATGTGATAGGTTTACAGATATGAGCTTTATTTCCTACTGCTGATCAAATGCAAACAAATTAAATGGAACAAGCTCAACCTTACCAGGATCCAGTGGACTGGGGACCCTTTTGACGGTCACTGGCAGTGGCTTCAGCAATGAAAGTGTCTCTATTAAAGTGGGAGAAGCCCAGTGTGTTGTTGAAGAAGTCTCAGGTCAGTTCAGAATCCATTTAATCGAGTAAAACTCAATGAACTGAGACTAAGACGGGTTTTTTTTGCAGCTGAACGCCTGGTGTGCCGACTGGGAAGCGCTGGCGCGGGTACCTTCCCAGTGTGGATCAACTTCCCCTCCCTGGGTCGTCCTCGTTTTGCAGGTGGTAGCGTCCTCAACTTCACCTACCAGCTCATCGTTTCCTCGTTCTCCCCCACATCTGGGAGCGCTGCGGGTAAAGCTCAAATTGCGATACGACTCACACAGCCAGAGGTAACGAAAGAAGTCGAAGTGGTAGGACTTAACGGCTGTTTTGTGCGCCTACCAGGAGGAACGCTTTTGACTGTGACGGGCTTCGGCTTCAGCTGGGACGCCACCGTCACCGTTGGCGGCGCAGTGTGCGAGGTGGTCCATGCCAGTCCCACAGAGCTCAAATGCACAACGCCAGCGGTGAGTTTTCACATAAAAAAATTAATAAATTTGGTAGCACATATCGCAGATACCTGAAACAGCCACTGACTGAAAATTTGGTGCTGATCCACATAATGATTTGTTAAAAAAACTACAAGTGTTTCTTAATTTTCCAATTTACACATGCACTGTTTGGTTTTGATCCATATCATGATTTACCCACTGTAGTTCTCAGTGGCTTAAATGTATCATTTCACTTGCGTGGCTCAGGGAAGTGTGGACTCGCAGACAGTCACGGTGAGCGTCGGTGGCATGAGCAAGGAGGCCAATGACACCTTCACCTTTGACCTTGCCCTGACGCCTCAGATCACTGACCTGAGCCCTGCCAAGACCACCGTCTTTGGTAAGAGCAATTTTGTGCTTAGTTACATGAATTCTGTCAGACATTAACAAAAATCTACACTAAACAAACAATTCACAGATGACGATAGTCTTCCGTCACGATTTTCTGGTCCCAGTTGAATCTATATTATTTCAAATTTGTATGTGCTTTTATTTTTAACACATGTCATTTGGGTATGTTGTATTCCAATTCCATATGTATTCAAATTAGGGAAATTTATACAGATAGAATTTTGGATTTAAAAAGTAACAATAAGACACCACAAGCCCAAGTGTCTTGTGGTGGGTGGGTTCAGCGGGAGTGTATATTCAAAAATCATTTACTCTGCTGCGAATGTGTCTCTGCAACCTGCCGTTATTGTTAATTATCACCAAGGACACTCTAATTAACCATCTACAGTAATGATACACCTGAGCAGGTAAACAATCCACTTCTAGAAATCACAATCACACAAGGCTGCACATTGGTTGCTGCCAATCACCTCAAAAAGGACGAGTGTTAAAAGTGTCACGCTTCAGTTTTTCTGATGTAACCTTGCCACGTGTTTTTCAGAAGTCTGCACCTCACGCTCGCAACGTGTAATTACCCCCACACAATGGCAACAATAGTGACAGGAACGGCATGTTTGGTGGGGGGGAAAAAAAAAAAAAAAGCTCACGTGCGCGTGTGGTTATTTTATCAGGACGTCGCGTCCTCACTGTGTTGGGGTCAAACATGGGTGAGCCAGCCAATGACAGCAGAGTGTACGTGGGCAAGGTGGAGTGCAATATCGAGCTGTGGACGTCCACAAATGTCACCTGCCTACTGCCTGTGTTGCCACCGGGCCTACATGACGTGCACGTCCAGGTTGGGAACAAGGGTTACGCCCAGACCAGGTACCACATAAAAGTTAGATGAAAACTGTACCAAATAAAAGTTTTTGAAAGTACTGTAAAACTGAACTGTACATTGGCAGTAATTATTTCAATTAAAACCAGACTTTTTTTGTTTTTGTTTTAAGGCCATATAGCAAAAGCCCTGGGATGCATTTTACCTTTCAAGGCAAATAAACACGGTTGATTTTGGATTTTAGGGTTGCTCTTGTTTGTTTCCATAGCAATGTCTTGGATGCAAGCATCGAGTACGTCCTGGAAGTCCACGGCATCTCCCCGACGACAGGCTCACTGATGGGAGGAACCCAGCTCACCATTTCGGGATCTGGTTTCAGCCAAAACGTCTCCGACAACAAAGTCTATTTTGGTAAGCAATATAAGCGTGATTACCCGCATAATGTAATTGAAATACTGTATATTTAAAAAGATATTTTATATATTTTTTAATAAATACATTTAATTTATACACATTTAGATTTAATTTCAATTTGATGACAAATAGAACTCTCTAAGCTGTATGATGTTTATCTTCTGCTAAGCCTAACCCTTCCTTTAACGATTCAGAAAACATAACTTTTGCTCATATTTAAAAATAAAATTAAATTCACAACTTGGACATGACGCAACTCCAGGATCCAAACTAAAGTGTCACACTGTTTGTCTGCGTGTGCGTGTGTGTGTGATAGGCGAATCTGAATGCGAGGTGCAGGTGGCCTCAGAGAACGAACTGCGCTGCCGTCTACAGTCCCAGGAGGAGACCCACATTGTTACCAACCAAGGGAGCCACCCTGGTAGGTTTGTTTTTCCTCTCTCTTTGTTCACATGTCAAGTGGAATCTCAACCACAATTGGAGTCACGTTCCGGAAAGTGCTCTGAGCGAGGAAACTCTCACCAACTACTTAATTATCTTTTTTTAATCCCATAATTATGAGATTGTAAAGAGCCACAGATATGACATGGGGACAAAAATGTAATTGTGGCCACAAAATTGAACCATGTGTGCAAACAATGCCAATTTCGTTCTAACTTGCACATTAGTAAGTTTACATGTGCTGAAAGGATGTGGGCGGAATGATAACAAAAACTGAATTTGGGGGGAAAAAAATCCCCATGTCACGTCTGGTGTCGTGCAAAATTGAGAGATTTATCCATAGAAAAACAATACTGTTCCATCGGCATGTCTTACCAACACTTGTCTCTGTGTTGTCCAGTTCACGGTCAGGGATACTCTTGGGATCCCCCTTCCATCAACGTAAAGGTTGGAGATAAAGTTTTGTGGAGGTGGGCGGTACCGATGTTCCAAAATACCGTTCGTATCGGTGTCCACCACGTTCCCAGCCCCGGTGATGCCAGTGACGACCATGATGTGATGTTCTCCAGTGGAGAGCCAAAGCCTGGGAATGGTAAATAATGCAGTTTCTTAAAGAAGAAAAAAAAATCCTCCATGTCACACAGATTTCCACACACTTTTTTAACCCAAGCACCTGCTACAACATCATGACCCTCCACCCCCCAATACAACCACTTTTTTGTGTTTACCTACATGTATATATCCCAAATCTTTTGACACACGCATACCTTGGTGCATCTGCTTACCCCGACACAACAATCCTCCAGTGCAGCCATCTGAAATTGTCTTAAGAAGCCATGCACCCATATCCCAAGCACCTCAGGTGTGGGCGCACCACCGTCTGCTGTAATATAATTCCAATTCACTGTAGTACATCATATCACCTCCATTGTGGTGAGCCCGACACCGTTCGATCTAAAAAGTAAACCATGCTTTACAAAGAAGAACCTGACCTATTTGTTCTCTCCCTGCAGGCTACTTCGGCTACCGTTTCACCGTTCCCGGTGTGTATTACTACAGCAGCGGGTACATCAACGAGAACAACAAGTTGGAGCTACGGGGTGCTGTGAGAGTCGAGCCCCGGCTCACAAGCGTCAAGGATGTCAACGTCCGAGTCGGGGGTCTGGACGCCCTACACGTGACAGGCAGTATGAAGGCATTTTATACCCAGTCTTGTACAGAGCACTGTAATTGGAATTGTAAAAGCATCTTGGGGCATTACAGAATGTGCAACTAAATGTGATCTAGTTTTTTGTTTTTTTTTAACTGAATAGCTGTAGATAGATGAATTTATGAATAACAAAGCAGGAATCGGTGGGGGTTGACGGCAGACGTGCTGGTTCAGTTTTCGCATCAGATCCTGAGTCGTCATCTTTGTCATCCGCCCAGAGTCGCATCGCATCTCCAGGTCAACACACGAGTGCATCGCCACACCGGACTGCAATCAGACCAACCAATCATCGGACAGCCTTTCCTTCAGCACCTTAGCCTGCTTCACCCCCACTGTCCACTCCATCTGGCCCAACCAGGGCTCATACCACCAGGTCATCCGTATCCAAGGGGACGGCCTCAGCAATGTGACCTGCACTCTAGAGGTTTGTGGCATTTTACACTTCCTCCTTAGACATCCCTTGATGGTGGAACCCAGTGTAAGAACTACTGCGGCTCAAGAGATTGATGTCCCGATGAAGCATATCATTTGTTGACATGCTACCGTGTCGTGCAGGTGACAGTGGGGGATGAGCCCTGCGAGGTGATCAACAGCACCCATTCGGAGATCTTCTGCCAGCTGAGTGCCAACAATAGTCTGCCAATCGGCGTCGCTTTACCCATAGAGGTTAGAGTCAAGAACTTGGGCAACGCTGTCATCGCCGTGGCTAAGGAGCTGGAGCGCCGCTTTGTCGTTTTGCCTGTTGTCGACTCGGTATGGCCCTCTGAAGGCAGCTACACCGGCTACACCCGGCTCTTTATCCAAGGGTCTGGTTTCTCAGAGGGGCTTTTGACCGTTGCTGGAGAACCATGTCCTGTGGTGTCAATGAATTACACCTTGGTAGTCTGTGACAGCGTCCCCTCCCAGCCACATGAAGGCGATGTTGTTTTCCATTGGGGAAGTATCCAGACTTCCTGTTCCTCAGACTGTTCCTTTCTGTACACATCTTCCATCACTCCAAACGTCACCGCCATTTCTCCTGAAAGCATCCGCAATGACACCAATGTCACCATCTCCGGCGCAGGGTTTGGCGCCGACGTTGAGGATGTCGCAGTTTTCGCCAGGGGCATCGAATTCCAAGTCACCGCAGTTGTTGACAACGTCATTACGGCAATGGTCGAAGCTCTTCCTGCGGGCGAGCATGCCATTCAAGTTATTGTGAGAAGTAAAGGCTTGGCGACTGGAGATGTCACCCTGACCAGCCAGGCTCATGCCGCACTGAGCCCAAGTGAGGGCAGCCTGGAGGGGGGCACCTGGCTTCAGATTACGGGGAATGGTTTCCTCCCGGGAAACACCAGCGTGATGGTCGACAGCAAACAGTGTGAGATTGAGGAGGTGACGCCCGGTAGCCTTAGGTGCCAGATGCCTCCTCACGACGAGGGACAGGTCTTAGTCAACATCCAGGTTTTAGATGTGGAATATCCTCCTCTCAACTTTACCTACTCTGCAGGCCAGACTCCCATCCTCAGCACTATCAGTCCTGCCACTGGTAAGCGTGATGCCGCTGGTCTTGAAGATCCAGCCGTCAAAACCTAACCTGACATTTCGCCCCTTGGACTTTTTAAAACCCAGGTCCGAGCGGTTCAGCGATTACATTGACTGGGTCAGGGTTTGGCACCGACAGGATGCATTTGACCATCACGGTGAACGGCGTAACTTGCAACAACCTCACGCTCACGGACAACCAGGTGGAATGCAACGTTGGGGACAACCCAGGGGGAGAGTACCTTGTCATGCTGCACCACCACATCAAAGGTTATGCTCGGTCAAACGTCACTTTCAGTTATGAAATGACGCTTGTCAGCGTTCAGCCCAACGAGGGTAAGCATTTAACATCGGAAAACCCGATGCAAACCAAAGAGCGCTGATATGGCTGTTTCGTCTGCTCTCCAGGTAGTTTTGGCGGTGGGGCTGCGCTGACTATCCAGGGTTCTGGCTTTGACCCGCTCAACTCCATCGTGTTGATCTGTGATGAGGAATGCAGCATCAACCGAGAAGCGTCCACATCCACGCACCTCTACTGTCTGTCTCCATTCAACAATGGTATGAATATGACATTTTCCATTACCAACCACAAATCTCAGCACTGTGAGGCAAATGTTCTAAACACTAGTGCACCGCACTGCCCCAATATACCGTAGAACAATCATATATTGTCTCACAGTACAATTCAAGGCAGGATTTGACAACAGGAGCTCTTTATTAAATTGCACCAGTGCCTCAGGTAGAGTTTTTACGAATGCATTTTTTTACATCAGCTTGTCTTGTCAGCAATTCATGCATTTAACCGCTAATCATTCCAAAGAATGTGAACGTGCTGGTTCTCTGAGGGTTTCCACTTGACATATGGTGAAATCCATTCTATATGATCGACCAGACTGCAGGAATGCCGTCTGCCTTGACAATGACAATAAGGCGTCACGGATGAGGAGACGTTCTTGTCATCCTTTTGTGATGTTTTCATTCAGACACCAACTCGGAGGCGAGCTGCACGGTGGCTGTAATTAACACGCTGATTGCTGTCAACATGTCGGATGGCTTCACGTACAAGACCCAGCTCACGCCCGTGATCACGGAGGTGTCGCCGCGGCGTGGAGGCACCGCCGGAGGCACCACGCTCACCATCAGCGGCTCAGGTTTCAGGTGCAGCCACGGGAACGGTCCCTATTCATGTACCACATGCTTAACACAATGGCAGGACACACTTGGATTAATGAAGTCCTCATCTTAAATTACATCACATGTTCATCACAGGCTATTACATTTGTAAAAGCGGAATGCTGAATAACACAATACTTAAATTCATCTGGTGTTTACACCGACTAACGACTTCCTGTGTCATAGCCCCAACTTGAATGAGGTCAACGTGACCATCGCAGGATCAGTGTGCGATGTTCAGTCGGCCAATGACACGCACATTGTGTGTGTCACCGGCGACCAGCGTCAGTCTCAGGAGACCACAGTGCAAGTCGGCATCAGAGGCCAGGGCATCGCCAAGATGGTACTTGTGTTCTTATTTCAGCTACTGAGTACAGGAATGGGAGAACTACATTTTTGTCATTTTGCAGGAGAGTGATGCAAGTCCCAGTATACCTGTATCTCAAAATTGTAACCAAACTTAGCTTTAAATCAGCATTATTTTGAAAGCCTGTATTCATTACCCAATTTCACCTATCCTGAGTAGGTCTGGAACACATCATCTGTCATCTGACTTTTGCTTTAGGACAACGCCTATTACTTCTACATTGATGTGTGGTCTTCGAAATACACGTGGGGCGGGTTGCATCCACCGGAGAAAGGTGCTTTCGCCATCATCACCAAAGGACAAACCATCCTCTTGGACACCAGCACCCCTGTACTCAAAATGCTTCTAATTCAAGGTGACTTATTAAAAAGGAATTCAGCCACTATGACAAGCTTGTTTTGAAGGTTTCCCGCAGGGGTTTTGGTTTCAGAGTGAACATTAATGAACTAATAACTAGATTTGGAAAGAAGTCAAGGAAGATTTGGACAGTCGTGGATTGCAATGCCTTGTAAGGACTAAAGTAGCTGCTTGTTTGAGTTCAGGTGGCACGCTGGTGTTCGACGAGGCCGACATTGAGCTGCAGGCAGAAAACATCCTCATCACTGACGGCGGACGGTTGCAGGTGGGCCTGGAAGAGGCGCCGTTCCAGCACAAAGCCATCATCACGCTGCATGGACACCCGCGCTCGCCCGAACTTCCTGTGTATGGCGCCAAAACGCTGGCCATCAGAGAGGGCATCCTGGACTTGCATGGTAGGGAAACAAAAGAGTGGACAGGGAACCCTTTGTCCCTTATGTGTGTTCTTCGGAATTTTTTGAGGAGCTTCTGGTCCAATTGTAAAACAGTCCTTTTTTCCTTCTGTTCCTGAAGGTAAACATGTTCCAGTCGTCTGGACCCACCTGGCCCAGACCGTGGATGTAAACTCCTCCACGCTGACTCTAATGAAGGCGGTGACGTGGGAAGCTGGAGATGAGATTGTCATTGCCTCTACCGGCCACAGGTAGATGTTGACTTTCATTACTTTTCGGATATCAACATCAAGATCAAAAAAGATTAACAATTTTTCGAGAGGCTTCAATCTGTTGATTACCAGTGTTAACACACAAGGCAAAACATCTTCGCTGGGCTAAGGAAACTGGCATTTATGCTGAGGTCTTGTAAACAACAGATATTTGAACACAAACGGTGCAGTAACATGAACAATACTCACAAGCATATGTTATTTATCCTTTGTGAAAAACAACTTCCGCAATATTAGTGCAACTTACTATGCCCATCTTCTGGTCGAGATGACTGTTTGCATTGTACTGCCCTCTTGTGGCGAGCATGCACATACAAGAAGGTGCACAATGTAGAAAAATAATGGGATTGCATTTCAGTCAGTGCTTTTTACTTTTATTTATCCAAGTACCGGAGTTGAATCAGAATTTTACAGGTCTTTTATTTTCACAAAAGTATCTGTACTTCTACTTAAAATGCAGGTTGTGACTACTTTTGCCACTTCTGCTTCAATGTAGTCTTTTGATCAAAGGGTACGATAAACTTTGACTTTGACTTTGACATCCTGTCTCCTTCCAGGCACAGTCAGAGAGAAAACGAAGTCAAGATCATCGCAAGCGTGTCGGCCGATGGAAAGACAGTCACCCTGACCGAACCCCTCAAGTACTCCCACCTTGGGGTATCCGTCACCCTGCCCGATGGCACGGTCTTTGAGGCCCGGGCGGAGGTGGGTCTGCTGACCAGAAACGTGGTGGTGCGAGGCTCCCAAAACATAGACTGGCAGGAGAAGATCGAGGCTTGTGCAGATGGTTTCAACACAGGTATTGTTTTGCTTTGGTGGCGGAGTCAGGTCGAAAGAGAATTTTTTTTTTTTCATGAAACTGGCAACTGTGTGCAGGAGAGTTCAGCACCCAAACTTGCTTCCAAGGAAAATTTGGGGAGGAGGCGGGCAGTGATGAGTTTGGTGTCGGAATCATGTTCCACGCCCCACGACCGAGCAAGGGTCTTGCCGTTGGGAGGTTGACCTACGTTGAGGTACGGTCTTCACTCAATTCTGTATATAACGTTTCACCTACCGCAGCCCTCCACGATATTATGGAAGCCTGAGGTTTATAGCAATCACCTTTTAGGGGTTTTTACAAATTCTTACTTTGCGAGAAATACTGCACTGGCAACGTATACTGAGCCTAACAAACCCCTCTTAAATATCGCCACTTAACTTTCCTCTGAGCTGAAGGAACCTGTTGTTATGGGCAGTGTTTCTCAACCTTCACCTTTTGACATGGTTTGGTTCTTTGACACAGATCTACCATGCAGGACAGGCCTTCAGGCTGGGCCGCTACCCTATTCATTGGCATCTGATGGGAAACCTCGAATACAAATCATATATCCGCGGTTGTTCCATCCACAAGACGTTCAACAGGGCCGTGACCATCCACAACACCCACCGGCTCCTGGTGGAGCACAATGTCATCTTCAACATCATGGGCGGCGCCTTCTTCATTGAAGACGGCATTGAAACGGAGAACATCCTGCAGTACAACCTGGCTGTGTTTGTCAGGCAGAGCAGCAGCCTGTTGAATGACGACATCACCCCAGCCGCCTACTGGGTCACCAATCCCAACAACATTATTCGACACAATGTCGCAGCAGGAGGCACCCACTTTGGCTTCTGGTACCGCATGCACGAGCACCCTGATGGCCCTTCCTACGACCCGAACGTCTGCCAGAAGAAGGTTCCCCTCGGGGAGTTCCACAACAACACAGTGCACTCTCAAGGTTGGTTCGGCCTCTGGATCTTCCAGGACTTTTTCCCCATGAAGGATGGCGATTGCGGTTCCACTATCCCAAAACCCGCCAAATTCCATAGCCTTACCACCTGGAACTGCGAGAAAGGGGCTGAGTGGGTCAATGTGGGCGCTGTGCAGTTTGTGGATTTCCTGGCGGTCAACAACGAGAAAGCCGGGCTAGAAGGCAAACTCATCCTTCCGTGGGCAGTGACCAGCTTTGGGGAGGACGGCGGAGCTGGGGTGTTCAACTCCACCATCGTTGGCCACGTGGACGACCTCGGATTAGGCGTCGACTACTGCACGCATCGAGGCATCATCACGCCATTCGCTGATGGCATGAGTGTCGACGGCACCAAATTCTTGAACTTTGACCGTGACTCCTGCGCAGCTATCGGGGTGACTACGATTGACGGAACATGCGGGGATCGCTGCGGTGGCTGGGCTGTCCGCTTAAGTGGGCTGCAGTTTGTGAATTCGCCCAACAAGGCCGCCTTCAGGTGGGAGCATGAGGTGCTGCTGGTGGACATGGACGGCTCCCTCACAGGTATTCTCGTCTTAACTTATGGGTCGTTTCATGAGGAGAGACTTTCAAAAGGGTCCTCATATACCTAAAGCAAATTGACCGACTGAGAACTACACCACTCCACTCCCCCAAAAAAATCATTTCATTGCTGTGTTTGTTTTATTGGTGTGCCAGTCCCCATCTGTAGCTATGCACTTTTTAAAACCATATGCCATCATTTTTGAGAACCATCGCCTTGGCAACTGTTCACGTCAAGTTTGCGAATATTCTTTGACATCGCATTGACATTGTTTTCCAGGGAATATCAACCATAAAGTCATTCCGATGAGCGGCCTCCTTGACTTGGCGCATTGCTCCGAGAGCCCGGACTTCAGCTTGGTGTTCCCTGCAGCTGTGTGCGACCATACGGTCAATTTTCATCGTGTGGGTCTGAATAATCCCACACCGTCTTCTCTAAACTCCAAGGATCTCATATTCAACAACTTGCATGGTATTACATCACATAGACAAGCCGCTCTTGATAATATCTTTGATTATTTTTTAACTTACGTTTTGCATACAGATACCAGGATCATACAGAAATATCATGATGAGCACTACCCAGCTCAGTGCTAACACCTCCAGGGATGCGTAATAATATATCTTTTTTTAAAAGGCAGCAGCGTGATCCCCTACTTGGAGAAGAGATTGACCCACAAGTTTGGCTGGATGGGCATTCTACCTTCGGGCCTCACGTACAACATGTACTTTGATAAGGCTGACCAACTCACAAACATCACCTATAGTGCAACTTTCTACGGCTTTGAGGTACACCAGCCCAAAAGTCTGTGACGATGATGGCACTGGCTTGTGGGTTGATTCACCAGGATTCGTTCTGTCTCGCAGTCAGATCAATTTGTGATCATCCACCACAACTTCAGCCAGAATCCAAATAAGGTCCGAATCCTGGACGAGAGGAACGCCTCATCGTCGCCCCTCAGCTTCGACACCAACCACAACGGCGACTGGTACCTCGACAATAAAGACCTCTTTTATATGGGTGAGGACTGTTTTTTTTGTTTTGTTTTATCCATTCCAAAGTATACACCAGTGTACATGTGGGGAAACATCTTAAGCAATTTGGAGACCCCACATGTAATGAGGAAAAATTGCCATTTGCCTACTTACAGCTCTTATGTGTGATGTAATGGAGAATACACCACACACGTTAACGTCTGTCCAAGTACAAACACACTCAACACCACAGGACATTTTATAGTTAGGCCATGGCTAATTTTGATCATACGCGAATTTGACTCGAAATCAGGCTCATCATCGGTATGCGTCCATTCATTCAGTGTCCGGGAAGAGGAGCCAGCGCAAGCGTCGCAGCAGCGTGGATCGTAACTCAGTGGACATAGCGGTAGACTTCAAGGTCTACCGATGCTTCTTCGACAATTGCATCCCACCGCCGCCCGCCACCGTCGCCCCACTGCCCACCCAACGGCCTGACGACTTCATGTACGATAACATTTAGCACTCCCCAGCTACATGATGGTCATGATTGCATTGTAGTCTGTGTGCTTTGCAGTCTGTGGTCCAACACATCGTTCTGGGAGAGCTCGGCTGAAAATGGCTTCAGTGTGCCAAAAGAGGGGGCAGATGTGCTCATTCCATCAGGTAATATTAAATTTGTATTGAAAGATTTGCAAATTCCAAAATTTATGGGAGTGACTTGCACTAGCAACCCTTGACGGAACAAGCCGAGATTTGTGGCTGGCAATCCAAAGTGCGACTAGTCACTTGTCCATCCACAGGAATGTGGGTGGTCTTGGACGGCAATACGCCTCCCCTCAACAAACTGATAATCAAGGGAGTCCTGGAGGTCCCACAACCGTCCAACAGCTCATCCGGTCGCCTGTCGCGGGCTGTGCCGCAGAACCACACAGTTGTCATTGATGCAGTCTACATCTTTATTCAGGTAAGGGTCAAAGCTGGAATCTCTCTAATGACCATCAAGTCGGTGCTGATAGAAGCGATGTGTGCTTGGGTTCCAGGGCGGCAGGCTGTTGGCAGGCTGGAAGGATGAACCCTTCACTGGGGATCTGCACATCAGACTCAGAGGGAACCACAGCACCCCTGACTGGCCTCTGCCAAATGGGCCCAACCAGGGATCCAAGGTACTGAGTGTGTTTGGCACCCTGGAGCTTTACGGACAACACCACAGCGTGTATCACACCAAGCTCGCCACCACGGCTAACGCCGGGTCCAGCACACTCACCCTGATGGAGCCTGTCGACTGGAAGGTCCGGCTCAATTTTTTTTAAAAGTTCATTCTCAATTTGTGAGTCTGCATGTGGTTATAGTTATGTACGTATGCACACGTGGGCAGGCTGGAGACGAGGTGATCATCTCTACCACCAGCTACAGCGTCTGGGAGACAGAGAAGCGAGAGATAGCTGTCGTCTCCGCCGACGGCCGCGTCCTCACCTTGAACCGTCCTCTGAGCCACACTCACGTCGGTCAGCTGACGCAGAAACTCTTTAAATAACCACGATTACACGCTTTTAAAGGGGGCAGACGGGATATGAGACTCTTGGTTCTTGAAGATGGTTCACCTTTAATCCAAATTGCTTCTTCAGTTCTAAAATTGAGGGTGGTTAATTTGCATCTGATAGGGGGTCCAGAGGGTTGTTGTTGTTGCTAGGTTTAGCGGGTGATTGACGGGTTTGCCGAACAGCCAGTGGTTTACCTGTCTGGGGACAAAATGGCTCATTGTTGGCCACTTTTTCAGTACTCGAAAGCCAAGTTTTCAGTTCATTCCAATTTCCAAACAAAGGGACATTACTTTGAGGTGAGTACTGTTCTCATTCTTGATAGCGAGGACTACTGGTTTGAAAGAACACAATCTCTCAGAGAATGTCTCTCTCCATGAAAAAAAATGACCAATAAAAAGCCATTTGGACATCAAACTTCCAGTTGCCACCATTCAACTTAAGCCGATCTTAAGACGTTTTAAAGGCCTGTATTCTTGCCCCTCCAAAAGTATTGGAGCAATTAGATCAATGCCCAGATCTAACAAAAGGATTACAACAGCTGAGATTTTTTGCCCATGTGTCAATTATATTAATTAGCGCTAAATGTCTAAAATCAAGATTTCAGTTTTGCCTCCGTCTCCCGTTCCAGGTGAAATTCACTCAATTGAGGGAACATTGCGGTCCTACAAGCTGGCAGCAGACGTCGGCCTGCTGACCAGAAATATCAAGATCATCGGCGACGAATATGCCAACATGTTTGCCGAATCATTTGGTGCCCGTATGCTAGTCGGCGCCTTCTCCTCGGAAGGGATCGACTTCAGAGGTATTCTTGAAAAAGAAATGTCTTTAGAAGAACTGGAATCGGTTGACTGATTTTGTGAAAGACCTGTCCCGAAACTTTTACTCTCATAGTCTAACTGTTCTTCTAGGCAAGGCTCAACTCTGGAACGTAGAGTTCTTTCACTCCGGTCAGGAAGGCTGGACTGATGAGTACGACCCGCGATATTCTGTGGCCTTCATCGGCCTGGGAAGGGTACATGCAAATTTTGTCTGCTCCATCGTCTTTTTATTCGGTAGACCTGCTGAGCATACTTAAGGGGACTCTATTGTCTTCCAGGCCAACGACTCGTCTATTCAGGGCTGCTCCTTCCACAGCGGCTTCTCGCCGGCCATCGGCGTGTTCAGAACAGACGACTTGGCTATCGAGGACAACGTCATCCATCACACCGTGGGCGACGGTACGGACAAACGACATTTCATTTAGTTGAGCTGCTGTGTCTTTATTTTAATCATCTGTCATGGTCCTGGTCCAGGGATCAGAGTGTGGGGGAATAGGATCATGTTGAGGAGGAACTTGGTTACCATGACTTTGTGGCCCGGATCGTACCAGGACAGAAGGGAGGAATTCAACTATGACTGGAGCGCCGCCTTCAAGGTCGGTCCAAAATGTCACTTTAAAGTTAAGGTTCATGAGGGTATTTGTTGGAGGAAAAAAAAGAGAAAGCCAGCCTTCCTACACTTTGATCGTTCTTGGCATCAGGTTAATGAAGGTGCGGAGGTGGTGATGCAGCACAACATAGCAGCGGGTTACGAGCGAGTCGCCTTCCGCATTGATGGCGAGGCATGTCCAGGTAAGGCTTTTTTTTTTTTTTTGGTACCGTTTCAAAATATGCATTTTAAAAACAATCATCCACCAAGAGGTGACGTAATCTTGTGCAGGTGCCTCCAACGGAAATGAGCCTTGGTCTAACAATGAGGCTCACGGCGGCCTCTACGGCGTCTTCATGAACCGCGACGGGCTGTCCGGGTGCTCGTTAATCCGCGACTTCTTCATCTGGAGAAACTTTGACTATGGAATCTACTTCCAGGTGGAAACTCATCACCTTGTGTTATTGTTATAGTTTATTTTGATTAGATATATGTTCTTCTTGCATTAACTGAGCCACTTCGAGCTAAAGTGGGCTAACTCCATCTTGGTCCTTTGGTTGTAGTCGTGACCTCAAGTTTTATGGCTACAACAAAATCTGTTGGATTTATGACATCATCATTTTCCTTAATGCCTCCCAGACCATCATGAGCATCACGGTGTCCAACGTCACTTTGGTGGACAACGGCATGGGAATCATGCCCATGATCTTTGAGCCACCCTCTCTGTCCCACTTGTATGCTGATAAGAAGGTCCGCGTGGAGGTAAGACGTCAACACCACCTGGCTTTTCTTTTCTTTTTTTTTTTTCTTTTTTTAATACAGTACGAGTTCGCCACGACCTGGTCTTATTTTCTGCTTTTTTTTCCCAGAATGCTGTGATTGTTGGCGGAAGCCCCCACTTCAACTGCTCCCACACACTGGATGCCAACGACTTTAACACAATCAGTAGCAACTTCCATCGAGCACCCAGGCCCATCAATGGTAACAAATTATACATTCAAATTTTGAATGACTTATCAATTGGTGAATTTCAGAAGTAATATAAATGAATACGGTACATATAATGTCCCAAAAAAAAACAAAAAAAAAAACGTCTGTTACCTGGTTTGTGCTTGTGTCCAGGTGGCAGATCGGGAATCTGCTGGCCATCTTTCGCGTCCGCACACAACAACGCTCCGGTAAAGCCCTTTCCCGGCAACATCAACTACAATGCCATCAATGGCCTGATGGAAGTGGTTGGTGAGTTGTAAAAACGGCCGATGCATGACTCGTCACGGGAGAGTATCCCCACAAGAGTGTCAACTTGCTGCCCCGTCCAGATTCAACGTTCGTGGGGTTCCGCAGCGTGTGCTCGGGCCAGACCAACGTGATGTTCATTAGCAACCCTTTCAACGAGGACCTCCAGCACCCCGTCCATGTTTGGAACTTGACCATTGTTAACAGCACCAAGGAGGCGAGAATCTTCATCCACAGGCCTGACGTCAGGTTATTTTTTTTTTTTCCCCAAATTATTTGTCTTTATTTATTTTTTCCATCATTATTTTACTATTAAAATATCTTTATTGATTTGTTATGTTTCCAAGAAAAGCAAAGTCAGTGTTTGTCTATGATATTATTTCGGGGGCTTTATTAATTTCATTATCATGTTTTCTCTTTATTTTAAGTGTTACTTTGTGACATCTGTGTGTCTATCAGGAAAGCGAACCCGGCCGACTGTGTGGACATGGACTGTGACGGCAAGAAGAAGACTATGCTACGCGACCAGGACGGTTCCTTGCTGTCAGCGGTGGGCAGCGTGCTTCCCCAGTCCGAGTTCGAGTGGGATGGGGACCCCAGGAGGGGGCTGGGCGACTACCGCATCCCCAAGGCCATGCTGACCCACCCCAACGGCTCCCGCATCCCCGTGGAGCAGATTGCCCCGAATAAAGGTAAACCGTCAGGCAATGTCCTTGCCACACATGGCGTAAAGGTCATTCCGTTTAAGAATTCAGTCAGGTCATGAATATTTTAAACTAATTAAATCAAACATGTAAATTCAATCGTATTTGTAAATTAAATGAAGTCTGTGAAGTAATTTCAAAATGTATATTATATTTGGAAATGAAAGGGTCCATTCAAATAATTTAGAAAGATGAGAAACCACAATTTAATTTGTATATTATATTTACAATGAGTCAATTCAATTTGTGAACTAAATTCGATTTTTCATTTTTTCAATTAAAGTGACAATGACATAAATCAAATTAGTAAATTAAATTAACAAATACTCACGGCTCAGTGGTAGAGTGATCGTTTCCCAACCCAGAAGTTTGTGGTTCAATCCCCCCGGCCATTGCGTCCATGTTGAAGTGGCCTTGAGCAAGATACTGAACACCCAGTTGCTCCCGATGCTGCGTCATCAGTTGGTGAATGAGGTAACAGTGTAAAGCGCTTTGAGTACCTGAGGTAGAAAAGCGCTATTTAAGTGACAGCCCATTTACAATCAATGAAAACATATTTGTCTATAATTGGACAAGCTGGCGGGCATTCCCGAGTGACATTTCCGGCATCTTCTTTGCAATCAGGCGTGATCCGATCCAACTGCACGTACGTGAGTGCTTGGCAGGCGTACGAATGTTCCACGCTCAACTACAGGATGCTGGTCATCGAAAGTCTGGACGCTGACACGGAGACCCGACGTCTCAGCCCGGTAGCCGTACTGAGCGAAGGCTACATCGACCTCATCAACGGTACGAGCGCCACAATGTTCAAGTGAATCCGAACCGATATAAAAAGTCTACACAGCCCTGTGCAAATGACAATTTATTTATTTTTATTTATTTTTTTTGTGACGAAATGGCAAAATGAGACCAAGATAAATCACTTCAATGTGACCTATAAACTGGACAACTCCATTTTGATTTTTTTTCAATTAAGTCAAGTCCAGAGAGACTTTTAAAAAAATAAAAACAAGACGCTAATTTACATTAAGTGGAATCCAGAAAGACTCGTTTTTTTGAACATAAAAACATTCATGTGATTTCAAAAAAGTTGTCTTTATTTTATATTTATGGGCATTGGCAAAACCACTTGTCGTTTTTTGTTATCTGTATCTGCTAACATCTTACTTAGTTCCTTTAAAAGCCACCAAAATGCCACCAATTTGCAGTAAAATAAAGTGACTAAGTTACTTTGAAAACCAAATACAGGTACCGTAAACAGTAAAGTCCGTTACTTTTTCAGAGTAACTATGGCAACACCGCGGTACCGCTCTCCAGCCGGCGACACAAAATGGCGGCGCCCATTAAGTGCACACCGTCAAACTTAGTGCAGACTCTCCGTGCCACATGAGCACAAAATAACAATAAACATCAAGTACGCTTCTCTACACACGCTTAACATAGTGAAAAGACCACATTAACATCCGCAAGCTGCGTGTAAGACACTTAATTAGGTTCTTGGCGAATTTAAGAGAGATGCCAAAGAGCTGTCCCAGAGAGCTGTCAATCAAATTAGCTAGGCAGAAACGGCAAATAGACAAAATAAAACGACTCAATTACTATTTAGTGTACTCACTTGTGGATCAGAGACGCACACAATCACTGCAGCACTGGACACATTCTTCCATGTTGGCGCAGTAATTCAGACTGCCAACAGGTAATGGGCAATATCACCCAGAATGCATTGCGCTTCTCATGTGAGAAGGTAAATTTCAGTGACGTAAGTCTAGGCGTCATTTACAATCTCCTCCCCCCAATATAATAATAATAATAATGAACATGGATATTTGGAACTGGTCTAAGGGGTCGTAAAAATAAATATGATACAAGGTGGTTGCACACGTGTGCACACCCTTTTGGTTGTGTTCAGTATGACGCAATCAAATTCAACCCCTTTTTATTTTATTTTTTTCCCCCTGACGTTTTCACTTACTTTGATTTTACTGTAGTTATTTACTTAGCTATAGTGATAATTAGCTTTTTTTAAAAACATATATTTGGTTATAGCAACTCTTACTCAGTTACAGTTTCAAATCCGAGATAAACTGCGCTCATTAAATTAAATTCTAATTACTACCCCACACCTCTCAGTTTCTTTCACTTTGCTTTAGTTACATTGTTACTTTCAGGTACTTTGATAGAGTTACATTGTTATTGTTCCAGTTAGTTATTTACAGATATTTAGTTACAGTTACTCGTTAAAATAACTCAGTTACGGTTACTTAGATACAAATTGGAATGTGGCTGTGTTCAGAATGAGCCAGTCACATTCAAATTCAACTAAAATGGGACTTGTGAAGCATAAAGTGCGGAACCTCAATTAAAGTTCAGCTGTTCACGTCACTGCTCCACTTGATTCACGTGAATGCGTATAAATGTTCCCGATCGTAGTAGGTTTGTGTGTGTGTGTGTGTGTGTGTGTGTGTGTGTCCAGGCCCTCAGGACCACGGCTGGTGTTCAGGTTACACGTGTCAGAAGAGGGTGTCCCTCTTCCACAGCATCGTGGCCACAGGGCGCGCTGTGGACGTTTTCTTCACAAGCACCAGTCCTCAAAAGCTGCGACTCATGATGCTCAACGCCGACGAGAACGAGGTCAGAGTACATTAAAAAAAAAAAAAAAAAAGTCATTCTGTGTATGCATGTCCACATTATGTTCTGGTTTCCTGTCAAATAAAAAGTATGCAATTTATTTTCCTTCAAATATTGTTGATGTTATTTACTGTATGTAGATGATTGTTGATGGCTTTATGTGTTTGCTTGGTTCCCTGCAGAGTGTGCTGGTGTCCGTCTTCTACTCCAAGCCGCAGCAGATGGACGTGTACGTCGACAACCAGCTGGTGGCACCCACCAATGCCGAGTGGAATGACGACAACACCGACTTCACCCTCAAGGAACCCACCTACGATGGTATTAAACATCAAATAGAGTCAAATGTCTGCGTGTGTGTGGCCACTAGCGAACAGTACATACGAGTAAGCAGCCGTAATATTAGTTAACATTAATATTTTTCGCAGAGGATAAAGAACATATGACTATGACTTTTGTAATATTGTTTGTCTACATGTGTCCAACATGTGTTTGTGTTGTTATACAAGTTGTTCAAAGGTTTATAAATTGTGCAATATTGATGCTAATTTTTCATTAGCCTGTCTATGGTGTTTCCCATTATGTTTTAGCATTAAGCTAGCACACTTGGGCTCTTTCGTGTCATCTGAATGAGTTGTCAAAAATATACATGTTTTGCCTGCAGGTCAATACGTCCCAGAGCTCAACGGCTCCACACTGGGCAGCAACTTCTTTGATCAGACCTCCAAGATGTTGAAGGTCCTGCTGAGAGGATCGGAGCCCGTGGAGATCCGGATGGCGCCCAAGCTCGTCATCTCATTCAACCTGCCCACCATGACTGAGGACGAGTTCTTTAGTGACAACCTGATCCGCAATCTGGCCGCCTTCTTCAAGGTCCCGTCCAACATGATTCGGGTCACCAAGATCATCAGGGAGGAATCCAGGCGGAGGAAGAGGTCCACTGGCTTGACGGTGGAGGTGGAGATCAAGAAGCCGCCAGTCCAGCAGGTCTCCAACACCACCGATGGTGAGATTTGGATCATGGTGGACTAATTGGTTAGCATGTCTTCATCCTAGTTTTGAGGTTATTGATTTGAATCCCGTGAATTTTTATTTTATTTTTTTGTGGGTACTCTGTCACCAAATATCAGTTACCCTTGAAGCCTTAGCATTCCTGATTTTGTGCCCCCAGATGAGGACGATTTCAAGGTATTGCAGAACATTGCAGACAATTTGGGTCAGGCGGCCATCTCGGGCAACCTCAGTCAGTCCATCGGCTTCAACATCTCGTCAGTGGGAGTGATTGCGCCCCCGCCTCCGTCTTCGGACCCTCGCTGGAATGAAGTAAGACCAAAATCACTGTGAATGACAAAAAAAAAAAAAAAAAAAAAAAAAAAACAGGAAGGGAAATCATACCTTGGCCTGGGCGTGCAGGAGGCCTCCGTGGAAGTGACAAGAGAGGAGCCGAAAGTGAGCCACGTGTCCAGCGTGGAGAAGCTGCTCGTGGTGCAGGAGCCCATCGCGGGTAACTACGTGGGGCCGCTGATGCAGCAGCCAAGCGTCATGGCCGTGGACCAACAAGTGAGCCGCTACATGTATTTACTCTTCAACCCCAGCCCCCCTCGATAAAAGCAACATTCACTTTTTGAAAAATTCCATAAAACTCTTGACGACTATCGATACTGCCAATCGGCAACCTGAAGAAAGTCGTTTCTTGAAGAGGCTGGTCGAGAAGTGAAATTACTGTTGAATTTTTAGTAATTTCTTAAAATGTAAAGAAAATAGTTCAACACTTGAATTACGAAAAAGAAGTAAATACGTTTTCAGGAACTACAAGACAAGAATGTAATTGTTCCTAAATACTACACTTATTTAAAATAAAAATACATTGGACAAAAATGAAATTATGCGGGGAAATTTTTAAAGATTTAGCAAAAAAAAAAAAAAAAATCTATTCTAAAACTGAAAAAAAAACCGAAACAAAAAAATTAAAACCTACTTCAAGAAATGAATACATTTTCTAAAATGCAAGTCAAAAATCCTGAATATTACACGTCTGTATAGATATAAAATAAAATTTGAAAATGTATCATTAAAAAAAACAATGCCAGAAAAATGAAAACAATGTACAAAAAAAACTAAAAATAGAAATGTAAAATAAATCACGCAAAATAAAACTAAAATAACTACAATGAATACATAAAAAAATTAAATCAGTTTGCGACAAGAGATACCTGTATTTTCCACCGTAAAAGAAATCAACAAAAAAAAACAGTTTTCAAAACACTCAAATTCAAGCAGCAATTCTTTCACATACCACTAGAGGGAGTCCGCGTTCCACTCTGACACACCGCAAATCACCGCTCCAAACAATTTTGACCTCCAGGGCGACTGCGTCTCGGTGGGTGTGACCACCATGACGGTGACGGCCAGCCTGAAGGACTCCACCGGCGCCAGCGTGAACGGTCTGGAAGGCAACTCCACCATCTTGTTCCGCTCCTGCTGGGCCAACTTCAGCGACCTGTCGGTGGTCAACAGTGCCGAGAACCTCACTATGGTGTTCAGCTTGAACGACTGGCGTGCCACCTCGCAGGAATTCAGCGTCCGGGAGATCCCCACGCCCGCTCCGACACTCTTTGACAACGTCACGCAGGCCACCGTACCTGACGACAGCGTGTTCGCCACGGGTAGCACCGTCTTGCCTGGGAGTTTGTGCCTGGTCAGCGTCATTTACACGTTCGCCTGCTGTACCGACGACGTGCCCATTTGTTAGGGTGCGCTCTTCAGTCACCACCTGGGACAAAAAATGTGCTGGGTTAATTCATCTTTCCATTTTCTGTGATAAATTAATAATAATAATAATAACAATTTGGGTTTACAAACTTAAAATGTGATTTTCTTCTTCCTTTTTTGTGCATTAATTGTGTGAATGCTGAAAGCATGTTCTTCCAATTTCTCTCTCGCCCATTGTTTTGACATGCAACTACTTCCACGTAATTCATATTCCAAAAATAAATAAATAAATCACATCTTGCAAGCTATTATTTTACTGGTTCCAAAAATGTGCAGTTTTCCCAGAATTCAACATTTTCAACCAAAAATTTCACATAGTTCCCATTAGAAATTCAATTCATTCTAGTTCATTCATCTAGTTCATTCTATATTGCAAATGTCTAGTTATTAAAGTCTATGATGCTCAATTCATTTGTGGGGAAACGTGTAAAAACATTTACTAACTGGTCACCAGCTAATTTGCGAGATACATAGAAACAAAGAAATATTCCAGAGTGTATCCCACTTCTCTTGCCAAAAGTCAAATGGCATTAAAGACTTGAAATTGTCGAAAGGTGTGAATGTGAGTGAAGGTACTTGTTTGTCTACATGCACTTTGTCATTGCCTGGTGACCAGTCCAGCTGCACTACAAAAATAATGATAATAATAAAAATAATGTCGGGTGAACGCATAATTTCAAGGCAACAAGCTTTGATAACATTTTAAGTTGGTCTTTTCAACAAAATATTTGAACTTTTGCTGTCATGAAAATTGGCTTCCTGTATTTCACAACAAAGAAATAAGAGTTTACTGCACAGGTATCAAACTCAAGGCCCGGGGGCCAGATCCGGCCCGCCAGGTCATTTTATGCGGCCTGCGAAAGCAAATCATGTGCGTCAACTTGTTAAAATCTGTACCGAAATGTCAAATTATCATGTGTAAGAAGTAACGTTGAGATTTTTGCAATAATTTTGTTCCCCTGTTTACACTCACTTGAACAATAATTGAAAAAAATATTATAATTTACTTTGATTTCCAAACTAGTAATCTATTTGTTGTGGACAAGTAATAATTTTGTGGTTTCACTGTCATAACGGCCCTCCAAGGGAAGATCCATCCATCGATTTTCCGATCCGCTTATCCTCATAAGGGTCGGGTGGGCTGCTGGAGCCTATCCCAGCTGTCTTCGGGCAATAGCCGGGGGACACCCTGAACCGGTTGCCAGCCAATCGCAGGGCATACAGAGACGACGACGTTTTAGAGTGTTCAATCAGCCTGCCATGCATGTTTTTGGAATGTGGGAGGAAACCGGAGTACCCATAGAAAACCCACACAGGCCCGGGGGGAACATGCAAACTCCACACAGGGAGGCCGGAGCGGGGATTGAACCTAGTACCTCTGCACTGTGAGGTTGACACGTTAACCACTGGGCCACCGGGCCGCCCTCCGAAAGAAGATGTAACTCCAAATTGGCCCGCGACTAAAATAAGTTTGACCCCCCTGGTTTACAGGAACGGTTGTCCCTTTAATTGAACCCCAACTTAAAGATAGAAGTGAAAACAGCTTGCTTGCTATTTTGCGCAAACATTGTTGCCCAAAATGTCAATACATTTATATTTTCATCGTTCTCACTTCTCTCATCGGAAGTCAGCCTCATTCACGAGGACAATAAACTACACGAAATACAGGTAGATGCCTTGAAATTTTCAATCCACTGTCCATGGTCCTGATCGACGTCCGCCTGGCGTTTTTTTTTTTTTGCCTGCGTTATTTTCCGCTTCACTAGAGACAGAATTGTTTATTTCTGTTCGTTCTTGTTTTTGACTAGGTTTTGAATTTTGTTGTAGTGTTTTTTTGTTTGTTTTTGTTTTTCGAGGCGGCGCAATTGCTCCATGGCAACTGTCGCACGCATCGCGCGGAGACTGCAGCTCAGAGCAACACAATCCGAGCGAAAGAAAGAACGAAAAAGAAAAAGAAAGAAAGAAAGAAAGAGAGAGGCATCTTTTCAGCTCCCTCGCCAGGGGAGGAGTGACTGCGTGTATAGGACTCCCACAAAGACTTTTACAGCCTTCATTTTAGTGAGGGGGGGGGGCGTTTAACACTTAACTTTGCCTGTCTTGACGCGCCGCGCGCACTTTGCTTGGACGCTAAATTGAGTGTGTGGCACCCCCACGGCCCCTCCTCCCAGGGCCCCCATGGACGTCTCTCTCGTGGCCGGAGCAATTGGAACACATTTCTTACGATGTATAGTTTTGGGAGGTGTGTTTAACGTGGCTTTTTTTTTTAAGTTTGATTTTGTGATGTTGCTGTTTTGTTGTTGCTGTTTTTGTCGATGAGTCGTTTCGTTTCTTCTTGTTTTTGGTGTGTTTTGTGAATTTATTGGGCATTTGTTGGGTTTGTTTTTCAATGGGAAATTTGTTTCGTTTTTTTTGCAGGGGGGGTTGTTTGTTTTTTTGTTTTTTTTTTTTTTTTATGTCTGTGTTAGTTTGTTTTGTGGACAGAATTGTTTATTTCTGTTCGTTCTTGTTTTTGACTAGGTTTTGAATTTTGTTGTAGTGTTTTTTTGTTTGTTTTTGTTTTTCGAGGCAGACAATTTGTTTTGTGTTTTTTATTTTGTGTTTGGACGGTGAGCTTTTTTTAGTTTTTTTTGGTGAAGATTTTGTTATTTGTGTTGTTATTTGTGATTTGTAGTTATTTGTTCCTCTTCTTTGGCATCTTTCATGTTTTGCTAAGACGATTTCTTCTCTTTGCTTATAAGGTAAACACGCACGCGAACAATTGGAACACATTTCTTACGATGTATAGTTTTGGGTGGTGTGTTTAACGTGGCCTTTTTTTTTTAAGTTTGATTTTGTGATGTTGCTGCTGTTTTTGTGGATGAATCGTTTCGTTTCTTCTTGTTTTGGTGTGTTTTGTGAAGTTATTGGGCATTTGTTGGGTTTGTTTTTCAATGGGAAATTTGTTTCGGTTTTTTTGCAGGGGGGGTTGTTTGGGTTTTTTTTATGTCTGTGTTAGTTTGTTTTGTGGACAGAATTGTTT